TTTAAGATATGCGATTATGAATTATTAGTAATATCTATATTTTCCAAATTTTAATTAATGTCAATCAATACACAACATCCAATAATATATACTTATGCCGATTTTCTATTTAGAGCCACCTTTTAGTTAACGTGCAGGCAGCAAACAATATAAGTATTATAAGTATTTATAATAGATATGCGAATATGAATTATTAGTAATATCTAAGTCAAAGCTTATTAATTATCTGTGCGACGAAATCTCAATTATTGTTAAGGCCACAACATCTAAATATTCCATGCGAAATATTGTATGTAGACGGCTTTAATTTTAATATCCTTGATTTGGAAAGATTAAGGTATGTAGGTGTTAACTATATATCAAGTGTTTGTAAGTAAATGCCATAGAAGTGTTTTGAATAAAGTTTTTAAGCGTCATTATTGTTTATTTCCCACAAGTCAAGCCATTTTATAATGTCTTTCACTGAAAAGAACCCACACATTTCACACAATGTTTTAAGTGTGTAACATCTATTTGGAAGCATGGTAGTCCACATCTTAAGGTACACATATGTATGATCAGCATATTGACTAAAATCCAAATCGCCATGTCCCATACCCATCATTCAAGAGCATTCTACGAGGCTTTTTTTGGACGGACACAGATAACGCGTCGAGACCGAGGTTATTTATTTATAAACAAGAAAGGAATGCTAAAGTCGAGCAGGCTCAACTCTTAAATACCCTGTACCCCCCCACAAAAAATTAAATTAATTTAATTATATTTATTAATTAATTTAATTTAATTAATTTACTAAATTAAATATAAAATATTCGATACATGCATACATACATTTACATTTACATCAGAATCGTGCCTTTGCGTGTTTGTGTACTTGTACATATGTATGTATGTGTGCATTGGGCATGTTTATATGGCTATTTCTTTCTGATCAACCTATCATAATGAAACTTGGTATATATAATTACTAACTGGATGTGTCTACCAAATTTGAGTTTAAAATTCTAAGAATTACGGGAGTTATAGAAAATCTTGAATAGGGGGGGAGTGGGAGGGCGCATCGGGAAAAATGAACAAACTCGTCCTTTCTCGGGCTCAGGAGAATCTGTATACCAAGTTTGGTTATTCTAGCTCTTATACTTTCTGAGATCCTTGCGTTCATACAGACCGACAGACGGACAGACAGACGGACATGGCTATATCGACTCAGCTTGTCATGCTGATCAAGAATATATGTACTTTGTGGGGTCTGCCACGCCTTCTTCTGTGTGTTACATGTACACTCGCACAAAACTAATATACCCTTGACCCTTTGGGTACAGGGTATAAAAACTGCAGTATTTCATCAAATTGCATCGTTCATGGATTGCGCAAGATAACCATAGATGACCTTTTTTTCAGAGGTCACGTAAAATATTTTATTCTTTATATTAATTTGGCTGTTATTATAACAATAACTTTTATTAACGTGTTCCATAGTTGACCAAATGAAAATTTAATAAACAATGTTTTCTAATAAATGACGACAGAATACAAATACTGTAGACTTCGACTCATATTCATGTAATGACTAGCCACGCTAGGATAAAGTTTATAAATAAAAAAAATAAAAATAAAAAATATTAAAAAAAACAGTTCTGGTTTTAAAGCACGATGTCTTCGACGCCCACATCTACTTCCATCAAGATCATAATTTTATTTATAATCTGTATTACGATTTAATTTAATGAGGTTTTTGGTTTATTTTCTTTTAAATTGCTGCCTTCAATTTTCTCTTCCTATAATAATATGTTTTCTACGAAAGCTTATGCGCGTAGATCTCAAATGAACTTAAACTACTAATTTTGCATTACGACTTGCACATTAAATAAATCATAAGTTCTTGCCATTTACCGATATAGAATAGGCGAGTATGACTTAATTACATGTTGTCGAGCTTGGATTGATTTACTTTATTAATAATATTCAACTTTCATTTCAACCATTCACTTGAATCAATTGATATTGACAACCTTTCATCATCGTCCATTTGACTGCAAGAGTCTTTCTGGCTATCAACCGCCGCCATCTGCGCAAAGACTCTTTGCGACCGACTCATCGTGTTTGTTGTCCTCCTGCCATTGCCTTTTCCGCAACTCTTATGATTTTTTGTCATCTGCTTGGCCAACGTCAATGAGTAGATCAATCAAAAACGCCGTCCGAGACACAGAGCACCATTAAATGCCATGCAATAATGACCAATCGGAAGAATCTTAAATGCATCATCACGTTTAGCGCAGTATCCGGTCGTCGGTCTCTTGTTGTGGCAATGGCAGTGTCCGTGGTTGTGGTAGTGGATGTGGCAGTAGCAGTGGCAGTCAGTCGATTGCTGGACAAACAGCGCACACGAATGCATCGGCATTGTATGGGATGGTCGGTCGTCGCTTTTCCCAATGTGACGAACGCGATAAGAAAAACAGAAATTAATTTCGAAAAATTTCATGTTTGGCATTTCATTGGTCTTTTTTTTTTTGTGCACCACCACTGCACGAGTATGCCTCAAAGTCTCCTTACTTTGCTGATTGAACGCGAATGCAAGTGCCTGTGTCTGTATCTGTGTCTGTGTCTGTGCCGACGCATCAGAGAAGTGGTTCGTTCTTCGGTAGCCATTACTAAATGCTCTTGGGCAGGCCCCTCCCCAAGCGTCTGGCACGCAAGAGCTCATTGAGCCATTTCTGGGGTTCGATGGGTTATTAGTTAGCCGCATTGCATGTTTGCCCTCAATGCCTGCTGTGTTGGGCTCTGTTCGGGCCAAGTGTTAATTTGGCCTGCGAACAACCGCATGTGTGGCTCTAGATTTCTAATCATTGAGGCATGGTGCAGTGAATGCGCTTGGATTTCGGTTTGGGGGTACATCCACAATTGCCCAAAGGCATATGCACAACTTTCATTAAATTATTGTGCACAATTGAACCATGGACGGAAAGTGTTTAGAAAATTTAATTAAAATTTCATTGCCAGTATGCAACTCACACAGAGCTCGGACGGAGGCTGAGGCTGAGACTGAGGGCGGTCCTGGTCGCTTTATCGCCCATACCAAACGTCGCTCCTTGATGCCATGACGATTAGGTTTTATTAAAAAGCCAAATATGCACAATTATTATGCTACGCCAACCACTTGACAGTCCATGAGCCCTAATATATTGTCCGTCGTGCCCTGCACAGTCGCGCTCGCCTCGCCTCGCCTCGCCCAGCCCGCACATCATCCGACATTCTCATTCACAACCACCAACCACCCCAACCATTAACAATGCCAAAGCGTAGCTGTTGTCTGCGGTGTCCTGCATCCTGCTCATATAGCACACAATTCGTTTATTTGCTTTTTAATAAAACAGGTGCTCGACCTTCAACGTTGGTTGACGCGTAAATGGCGCGACCGTCAGAGGGTTCGTGTTCGTGTTCCTGCAACCCCAACGGCCAGGCAATAATAGTCGCTCGACAACATACGCTTTCTGCCCTCCAAGCAAAATTGTGTGCGGGTGTGTGTTTGTGTATTTGTGTCATTGCTATCTTTTATCATTTAATTTCGCATTCAAACGTTTCGCACCCTCAGCATCAAAAGGATGCAAAAAGGATCACGCACACAAAAACCCACGCACGACTCCAGCACAGAGCACAAAGTCATTCCTTCATCTCTCTGCTTACTACTATCTGCTCTGTTCTGTTCGGCTCTGCTCTGCTCCTCCATCCAAGCCTGCGAACATGCGTGCGGTCGTTGTCGCTCTAGCTATTCCCGACCCTGAAGTGTTGTCATTTTTCATTTTGCGACTCGACCACCCCCCATCCGCCCTTTCGCCCTTTCGCCCTTTTCGTCCACCACTGCCTCTGACTGGGACTGCCCTGCAAAATTTGTATATGTCGAAAAGTCCAACATTCCGAGCATCATCGTTGGCTGATCCAGCAATTAGGCCAAGCGTAAAGCGTGTGCAACTATTGAAGGGCCCCACGACATTGACGATTGCGTGGGCATTGGCATGGGATGTGAAGGCAAGGGATGGGCAGGGAACGGAAAGGAAAGGAGAGGAAAGAGGATGGTGTGTTGGCTGTTGTCAGTATGCCGCCTGTATTTCAAATCGTTTTGTGATTGCTGAAAGCTGTCTTTGGACTTTTATTGGTTTTTTAGCGCGAGATTTCATCTACACTGAACGAAATGCAACCCAAACGAAATAAAATAATAAACACGGCATTCTTTATGAAGGAATAAGTTTTAAAATATCAAAATACGTTAGAGTGTTAAAAGATTATAGTGTTCTCATTGTCAGCACATTGTCGGCTTTAACGATCTATCAGATCTCGGACCAGGCGGAAAAAATATGCATCCCACTTCTTGATTACAAAGGATGCACATTTTCTCAAACTTTAGAGGCAGTGGCTCACCCAGAGACGGCACACATTCAAATTGTAGCCAATATAGTATTTTATAGTATATAGTAAAAGGACGTTTATATCTACTTATAAGGTTCATCTTGCTCAGCGCACTCCCGGCTCATGATATCCAACCGAAGTGAATTCCGTTTGGAGGAGTATTATTTCAGTACTATTAAAGAATTTCAGGCTACCAGGCGCTTCAAACTCATAGATTAAATGTAAAGTGGGGTCTTCACCATACGCTGATTAGCAAGTCCCTGCCGACCTCGAAGATGTCGACTAGAAATCTTTTAGAATGTGTGTATGTAATAATATAATTGCTTAATAATTTGTCTAATTTCGCATTCTTTCTGGGCGTTTCAAATTATTAGTACCTGTCAATTGAGGACCGCATTTTAGGATGATACTGATACTACTGATTCCCTCCCATTTCTATTAAAATTTTATTTTCTATGTATTTATGAAACATTAGAATAGAAAGTTAAAAGTTTTAAAAAGGCAAATAAATTCAAATGAAGGGATCACTTTATCAGCATCTTTTTTTGTAATCTACAAGTAGAACTGTATGTGATAAAAAATATATGATAGCAAGCAAAGGTCTACTTGAGAGTAGTTGCCAACTGATTTAAATCATGCAACTAAATTAAGTACAATTGTAAAACATGCATATACTATTTAAATAGCTAAGAGTCCAGAAGTGATTTGCCCTTGGTCTCTTCTAGAAAACAGCAAAAGTACAGAAAGCCACAGAAGGCAACCCCGCTGCAAGACCACATTGTCACCGATATACCCCACTGTTCCATGCAAATAGGGAAGATCTTGAGTGTGACAAAAACCGAAACACTAAGACAAACAACGAAAAACGACAATGCTTGGGATCGAATCTATGAAAAGAAAAAAGAAATCGCATCAGCAACTAGGAAGGTTGTGTCCTGCAATAACCAGACTTACTTTGGCCGGAAAGACTTCGACTAGAACCACGAAGAGGCAGCCCACAAGTCCAATACCACCCAGGAATACGTCCAATGCCATTAGCAACAATGGCAGCCAATCGACTGAAGTCAAATGGGCAGCATAATCCGGATTGTCCGCAAAGTAAGTGAAACAGCCAAAGGCCACTAAGCTTACTGCGCATCCAAGGCAGGATACGAACAATAGGATTTTACGCCCGTACTTATCACAAAGCAGAGTGGCCGTATAATTCCCCATCAGTTGCACTACGCCAATTGTAATTGTGCACATATTCTCGTCCAGTGTGGTGTGAGATGCAGCAAAGATGTCGGTCATATAGCTGGTGAATGTGAAGAGTCCACTAAATTGATTTGCCAGCAGCAGGGCAAATGCTGTGCCGTACGCTCTGAAAGCGGGCCTGGTTACTGCATTGGGAGCAGAAACACAAATTTAAATGAAAGCTCAAAAGTTGAATGCGCGACTTACTAAAGTCCTTGTAGCTTAAGGCTCTCCTCTCCATCTCCCGATCCTTCGTTAGCTTCATCTTCAGCTCGTCGAATTCGCTCAGCGCTCGACTGTCATTCACATCGAGGTTCTTATAGAAACAGAAGGAATGTAGAGCGGCAGCGGATTTCCCCTTACGGATGAGATGGTGCGGCGTATCCGGAAAGAAGAAATTGCACACGAAAAATAATACGGGCAGTACCATAATGCATAGCGGAGCCGTATGGTAGGCCACATATGTGGAGATGACATAACCAGCCAATATACCCATAGTGACTGACAACATGACCATGGAACCCAAAGTTCCTCGAATGCTGCAAATACAAGCTAATGCACCCATAGGCACCGCTCAGATAAATTCTACACACTTACTTTGTATCTGCTATCTCGCTTATAAAGATAGGTAGCACCACATAGCCGCCACCACCTGCAATGCCAGCCAATAAACGACCAACATACAAATATTCCACACTCTCTGCCAAATACGCTAGCAACCAGAAACACTGAAAAATTTCATTTTCAAATCACATGTTTTTCAGAATACCAAATTTTCGCGAATTACCAAATGGGGTATGGCTATGGAGTGCAGAACCAGCTTACGTCCTACGCGATTCTGCATCAGTCCGACCAATATATTACCTATAACGTTCCCTATACCCAACACGGAGCCAATCCAGGATATCTCCTCGACAACCACACTGAAACTGAGCGGCGAGTCCTCAGTTTTCAAGTCGCGCATTACTGGCGACATCCAGCCCACACCAAGGCCATGAATGAACGTTAAAATATTGACTGTAGGAGAAAGGAAATACGAGAACTAAACTCCTGTTTCTATTATAGCTTCCTTAGCTCTCTAAAACAGCAACTCACTCAGAAATGTTGCCAGAAACTGAATGCGATTTCTGCGCCTTAGCAGACAATTTTGACTTTCAAAAATTGTCCTTAAGCTGAGCTTCATTTTATTTTTGGAGTACTCGGCCAAATAGTATTACTGAGTTAGTTTCATTGCTGCCACCAGCAAACTACTGGCATTGTCAAATTAGAAAGCTTACTATATTGTCGCCTCTTACACATTTATAAACCTTTATCTGAGTAAGATTATTTGCAACATTGTAGTGCGGAAACACAATTAACCTTATTCTTATCAAACCATGCTCGCATATAGAAAATTAGCTTATCTGTTCATTTTCGTTAGAAAGTCAAAATGCTGTATACAAGCTGTTTCATTTCTGTCTCACATTTTTTCCATGCATCTTTTCTGAATCGAGAATTTAGTAGTAGTAGTAAGTCGTCCAGAACAATATATTGCCACTCAGTTTATCAGACTATTGGTTGAATAGAGCAGGATCAGATATTGAATATTAAGCATCGTCCATAATATTGGCCGTTGAACGTGATGCAGGGCAAGGTTATATAATGTCTAGGGCGCGCGGGCCGAGCTCTTGGAATCCCAAGTATACCATATGATATAGAGCCTCGAATTTGCAATAACTTCAAATGCAACAAAATTTGAAGTTTAAAGTTAAATTTAATTAAAATATCTTCCTAAACAAAAAAGTGATTCTAGTAAGAATGATATTTGCTACGTTTATTTGCTATATTTAATAACAAATACGTTCTTTTGCAATAAACTTAATCTGCGTATGAGTAAGACAAGTCTAGTTAAGGACAGTCAGACGGATATTTGTTTACCGATTCGTCTCGTCATGTCTTCTTGCACTTGTTACATATGTAGATCTCGTGTTTTGACTTTCTAGTAGGTATACCATTTCAAACTAAAAATTAACTTCTTTACTCGATAAGATTTTCAAGTGTCCATTCCGGTTCAAAATTACTTCACCAATGATAAGTGTGGATATAAACTGTATTCATTTTCGCATGTACCATTGTTTTAAAATTGTTTGGTTAGTTTTTCATGAGTTGTTTTCCCCCACAGAATACGGAAATACAAATTTGCATTTAACATTATCCCTTTCCCCATTAATATAGCCCGGCTCAAATTTATAATACGCTTATGTTATCTTTACTTAGTTTGATATTAAATTTGTGCGATCATAAAATTTGATTAATTAAATTTGCCATACACACAGAATTTTCAAAATCTGTGCATTTGTTCAGTTGCGAACCTATTTTTATAGAAATTTACGCATGCATAAGAAATTATAACAAAAGTGCAGACGTATTAGTTACACAAAAATTTGTTAAGTGTAAAGCAGTTTTCGATGCAGGACAAAAATTACGAATATTGTACAAGTATTTTCGGCTATCATTTCTATTATCAAAAGTCATTGACACCCGTTTATTTATCTTTTCATTTATTGTTTTTCTCCTTCATATATCCTTGCGATAATCACTTACATGGCACTTGTTTGGTTCGGCCCTGCACGCCGGCGGCATTGGGGTGCTGATGATTTCGGAACGAGCTTGAGAACAATGCCGTGAAATAAGGATTAATGGTGTACACGATTATTTGTGCCGAGCGACAAACATATTAAAAAATACAATACGAAAACTGTCGTGAGGGCGGAAAGCAGAAGGGCCGGGAATCGTGCTCGTATATTCATGGCATGGTGTAGGTCGAATTTAATAAAAGTCCTTGCGCGGCAACATCTCGAGTGTTTGCTTGACGGGGTGTCTGTGTGGGTCGACGACTGCTCCGCTGGGTATGGGTATCCGGTGGAATTGTTGCTGTTGTTGTTGTTGTTGCTATTGTCAGGATTTAGCCACGCTTCTGGTTGGCTGACTGTTTGCCTGCGTGCACAATTGTTTTTCCAGCTTGGGGTTTCCTTTATTTCTATGATGAAGAATTTATTTGAAAATTAAGAAGACAAATTATTTAATTTCGACTTTATGAGCTTTTCGAGCCTACCCACCCCTCCCGGCACCAACAGAAGGGCTGCTCAAGTAAAATGCTTTAATTTCAGTACACACTTTCATTCGGCTCTCTTATTTCCTTTGCTCATGGACTGTTGGACTGGCCAGCTTAATGCGTACTTGGGCCAAAAGGGTTCTGCTCACGAAGCGGCGGCCATTTTGTCTCATTTGGTTCGACGCGTTTTGCATTTTATGTCCTTCGTGGTAATAAACACGGCGAATGCGCGCGGGCTTCGCTCACTTCTTGGGCTTATGGCTTAGCACGCCACAAACTTAATTTCATTTAGTTTTATGTACATTTCATTAAGCAAAAATTTTCTAGCGACGCGACGCCATGGCCAACAGGACTCACAATGTACACCACGTTGAAGTGTCCTGCGACAGTGCGACTGTGCGACAGTGGGACAGACCTGAGCGAAGGGACAATCAAGATAAATAGCAAGCGGAATTTTTATTGCCGAAAGGATACGAAAAAAAAGAACGAACGAGAAACAAAAACAAAACGAAACGGCTTCAAGCCAAAGAGTTAAAAGTGTTGACGTGACTATGTCGTCTATGTGTGCACAAGAATGGGCCCAGACCCTAGCACTGGTCACAAACATACACACACACACATACATATGTACATATATACATATGCACGGAAAATTGTCAGCATGTTTTGTATTTTCCAAATTTATTGCCACTTGCAACATTTTGTAGCCAGGGCGCCCATAGATTATCTCGTCGTTTAGAGCCTAATATGCTATGCACTACTGGCAGCCACAATATGATTTATCACCGGCCTACCGATATATGATCGCCACATTTGTGTGTGCCTGAGTGTGTTGACATTTTCCAATGGCAACTTTACTGCCAACGCTAGCGGTCTGTTGCTCCAGCTGCGAAGCGGACATTTTTAATTACACTTTTTACAAGAAAATTAAATGGCAACATGTCATCGCTAATTAAATTGTCCTCTTTTCGGAACTTCCTTGCTATCTATTTGGATAGCGTATGTGTGTAACGAAAAGGGTTGTACAAGATGGAACCGATAAAAACATTGCCACGGGATGGGTTAATTAAATACATTGGTTTGTATATTGTTTATTCTAGGTAGTTACATATGTATGTATGTATGTCGCCTGAAGTTTACAGATAGACTTACAGGACTAAGCTGGAATACGACTGCGTGAAGAGCTAGGTACGGGCCAAAAAAAAATCTTAATTTTATTTCTAGCAAAAAAAAAATTACTTTTATTTTCATTTCTCTAACTACTTATGTAAGCCAATATATGTATGTACTAATGACCGTAATCCAAGTTACACCCTTAAAAATAGTCATACCTTCGATTTTTACACAAGTACTTTTAATAAAAGATAAGATAGTACGGAAAGTAACATGAAGGAATAAAGATTTTTTGTAAGGCATAGTAAGGGTATACATACTTTTACACACATAAGTACATATGTATACATAGCTTTGGCTCAGACGAAGATAATAGTTTAGCTCGTTCCAATATCAATAATATTTTTTTTTAACCTTTACGTTTTGAAGAACTATAATTCAAATAACATAACAAAAACATTTTTTAGTAGCGTATTCACTTTTTCTGCTTTGCTTATAAGATAATACATTTGTTTCCAATAACCAGGTCCATGTACAATATAAATTTCGACGAAATTTTATTTGAGTATGTATGTATAACTAAGGAAAATTTACAAAAATAATTGTTAGCTACACTCGACCGAAATTCTAGAAACCCGTTTACTAACTTTAAATTTGCAATTATAAATTGTTTTTGTTCAACCAAAATGGATTATTTCTTAAACTGTAATAAAACATCAACACGATCGAAAAAAAAAACAATTCCAGTGGTAGCAAAATATATTCGAAGTACGCGCGCAACAGAAATTACTCTGTCCAAATGCAACCCTGTTGTTTTCGCAAAGCAACCCTGTGCGTGAGTTTGGGCCTTTGTACATCGCAATTGTTCCACACCACTGACTGCTATCGCTCATTGTTACTCATTCTTGGTCGTGGTAGTTCGCTTTTTGTGCACATTTGCCATAAAGAAATTATTTCGAATCCAGGTTAGTATAATGTAATTAAAGTAAATTTTTATTAAGTTCCTTTGCATTAATCAGTGTTCAGCATAAGGATGAGTTCAATTGCAAAGTGAATTAAGTTCCCTTAAATTTTGACATCCATAGCCTCAAAAATTTCTTCATGTAGTTGAGTGAAAACGACCTCGTTGAAATCAATAAAAGTGAAAAATGTGATAATTGTAAAAGTAGCTCAATTGTGGCGAGCAATGGTAGACTGATTTAACTCATTAAACGCATTTGCGTTTTAGGCAATTCAAAAGAAAAAGTTGATGAAAATGAATCACAATCACCTCGAACAAAGAAAGATAGAGAGAAGAGTCAAGTGCCAGCAAACAAAATGGCGGCGTACCAGCGGAAAACCTAATGACGTTGACTGCACCACCTCCCCGCTTCTCATGGTCTGTCCATAGCTGAGTTTTCACACAGCTTCATTTTGTTTTCCCGTTTGCCTTCGCTTTGTGCCATTAGTTATTATACAAACAAATAGATTGTGTATGTGAGTGTGCATGCACTTTGTACTGGTTTGTATGACGAAAGCAACGAAAAAGTTGGGCGCGGATGAGCTGCAGAATTTTTTTATGAAGGGACAGGTTAAACGAGTGCGGGCATACAAAGTTTGTGTACTCAAGAAATGTGTACATACATACATACAAATTTTGGTGTGTGTTTGTATGCACATACATACATACATATGTTCGATTGGTGCGCACTTGTAAGCCACATTTCAATACCATTACCATTTTAAATAGCAAAAGTAATGCATACATTTTTTATGTGGGCGTGCCTTCGTCAAAGTCGTCTCATAGTCTGTTGCCGTTTAAAACATTTTCAACTTGGTATTGACTGTTAAACATAACCAAGTACTATACACGAGCAGCAAAAAAAACGACGCGTTCGAATTGAGGTCAAAATCATCCACAACTGGGTCTTTTCGTTGTGTGGTGGCGTCGGTGGTGGCGACGATAGCATCGGGTCGGGGTCGTCGACGCCTCGTTGCAACTTTCAGACGGTTGCTGTGTGCACATTTTATTGGGGTGGTTTTACATTGGCACTTTGGGGGTGATTAGAAGACATTGCATACACACACAACAACAATACAGTGACAAGAGGAAGACTTAGCCAGGGTTGTCCGATTGTGGGGACGCGGTGGAGCAAAAATTAAAATATGTACACCTTTGTTTACGCTCTTTAATGCATTTAACTTTTATAATATTATTAATATCTGCTTAACTACGAAAATTAGCGTGTGAATCATTATTGCTATCAACCCAATATACTTGTTGAACATGCTAATCAGGTATTTGGTCTTTTGTTTAGTACGCACATAAGCTTCTCAGGTCAAAAGACTTTAATTCGATGCGCAGAAAGCTAAGCTAAATGAGGTCAATAAGATAGAAGACAAAGACAGGACACTGACTTCTACGCAAATTCTCATTTGTGTGCCAGACAACAACTAAACAGCTAATTTTCGTACATGCGTGCTATACATGTCTCACCCGATTCAACCGCGCTGCCCCTCCAGACTTCAGCATCCAGAGTCGTGCATCTGGCACAAAACAGAGAGAGAGAGAGAATAACGATTTTGTATTTTGGAGTACACGCTTCAGTTTAGCTTCAGTGAACGAACAAAGAAATGGTCAACAAAGAACAAAAAAAAGCGAACGACCTGAGAATCAGCATCATCATCACATGCTAAAAGCAAAATTTTAAGATACTCTGCTATCTCACATATTTTCATACGCACTTTGTGTGGGATAAATTGCGTTGCAAATAATGAAAATAAATATGTATGATGAGCACACAATTTAAATGCAATGCAAATAAACAACAAACATTTAGCAGAACGACAAGCCTGTAGTGCAGGTGCACACATACATACATACTAGTACATACACACGCGTACGTAACCTGTTCCAGGTTGAATGAGAACGATCTGTATCTGAGTGTTGACTGTGGGCATTGGAGCAGACGGAAATCAACAAAATAAGCTTGAAGGTCTCTTCGTACGAGGTTGCTTTAATTGATATTGCACATTTGTAATTGTTCACGCTCCCAGTTAGTGTTAATTTAGAAGCTACTTTTGGATAAATTTAAATATGGAATCTGTATGTATGTACGCGAAGCTATGTACGTATATATAATTGCAGTTTTCTTTTAGATATTTGTCACAATCGTACGTATATTAGTTTATTGTCTGGTCTAGAATTTTTGTGTATTCACCCATAAATATTTTTTTATTCTCTACTCTATCCCATCTTTTAACACGTTTCGGCACGGCTTCTTTCTTTACCAGGATTCCTATACGCAAGGCTACCAAGTAACAGAGAAGTAACAGGAATCATAAATTTCGAACAACTGAAGAACAGAAAACGCACAGGACTAAGACAAAGCAACCGGAAGGAGCCACAATAGCATATATTCGTGTTTGTGTGTGTTTGATTTAGTGTTCGTTTCGTGTGTGTCCAGTCAGTAACGGTTAACACTTTTGGACGACAGCGCAGTTGTACTGATCACTTTTTAAGATCGAACAACAAGAAGCGAAGACGAACCCGGAAATTCTGCGCGAGAAAAGCGTTAGAATATATTATTCGCCCCCCCAGTCTTCCAAAAAAGTTATCACCATTCCTCATTCAACGTACGACGCCGCTCCCCTTTTGCACTCTTACGACGACAGTCCGCAACGTTGGGATAATACCAACGGGCATCAAGCAGGCGTCATCATAGATCAGTTCCGGAGCGGTAAAACGATCACCATTGAGGGAGGCACCAGTACCGGTGACACGAGCATCGGCGGCGGCAGCGATTTACGACTGGTAATAACGGCTAATCAAAACGATAGTGAGCGCAATTACGACCAGCTCAGTAATCGAGGCGGCGGAGGAGGCGGCGGCGTTATAGGCGTCAGCTGCGGTGGCCAAACACCACCGACACCTACGGTCGGCAAGACTCTGCTCAACACCAGCCCCAATTTACTACCGATTACAACCGCTACCGATACGTTTAATAACCTTAAGAATCTGGTGAAAATCGACAAGGGTTCTTCACCCGCATCGAATCACGCCGGCGGCAATAGCAACTATCGCATCAACAAGGGTGCAGGCGGTGGGTCCAGTTACAAATCTGGCAGCGGTAGTTCGCAAGTGGTAGGCAACGAAAGCATTGGTAGAAACGGCGCACTTGGCCGATCAGTTGGTGGCCAATCTGGACACTTTTCTACTGGATATAATAAAAATTCCGCCAAAATTCGTCAACACGATTCGGAAGTGAGCCCAAGACCTCGACGATCTTACCAGGGTGACTCGTCGTCGTCGCGTTACTATAACAAAAATAGTGACATTTTGGGTCAAAGCAGCAATCAGTCGCAGCCAAACTCAGTAGTTACTGGAGGCAGCGCTGATACAGCATATAACGGTGGTCGCTATACCATCGGCAGTGAGCAACAAGCTGGAGGACATCGCGGTGGTGGTGGTCGCAACTATCACCAAAACTCTGATGGCGGCGGCTACAATCGCAATCTAAACTCCAACGGCGGTGGCAGCGGTGGTGGTAACTATCGCTCCCAACAGCACCACCACAACTCACGCTACGAGAACGGCAATGGAAATGGACAACAGCGTCATTACGGCAACTCCACGTCGAACGCTAGCTACAATAACAACAACCAGCAGAACAACGGCAGCAACAATCCCAAGTCATCATCATCGTACGGGCCGCGTGGTGGCAACGATAGCAATGTTGGCCTGAATGTGCGCTCGAATTACCGCGACGATTACAACACCAACAACAGTTATCGCGACTACGACGACTCACCGGCTCACCAGCGCTATAATAGTGGGGGCAGTGGAAACGGCACCGGAGCGGGCAACACAAACAGCCTAGAACGCAACGGCCACGGAGGCGGCGGTCGGTTTCGATCGGGAGCTGACTCGCTACCGCCATCCGCTTTGCGCAACGACGATCGTTACGAGCGGGGGCAAAACAACCGTACGCCCCCGGTGCGGAACGGCAATGTGTCTTCGGCACAGGCTTCTACTTCAGCTTCAACTTCTAACTCTTCGAATACTTCTCTAAACGCAAATCGCGGCCCTTCTACACAGCAGGATTCGGTGAATGTGGCTCAGCAGCCGTTGAAGTCAGCCACACCACCACCTGTCGCTGGCCGCTGGATACCACCATCTTTGCGACCACAGCATGGACTCACCCAGAGCGAGAAGAACGACGCAGTGTTCCGTAGAGTGCGTGGCATATTAAATAAATTAACTCCGGAGAAGTTCCAGGAATTGAGCGATGAGTTGCTTAAGCTTGATTTAAATACAATTGTCATACTCAATGGCGTTATTTTGCTGATTTTCGACAAAGCATTGGACGAGCCGAAGTACTCGTCTATGTATGCACAGCTGTGCAAGCGTCTCTCCGAGGAAGCACCATCTTTTGAAAAGGAACCGAATAATTCGTGCACATTCTTGCGCTTGTTAATTGCTGTTTGTCGCGATAAATTTAACAATCGTTTAAAGCGTGACGAGAACGACAATCGACCACCAGCCGAAAATGAGGCCGACGAGGAAGAGAGACGCCACTTGGCGAAACAGCGGATGCTGGGGAACGTCAAGTTCATCGGTGAGCTCAACAAGTTGGACATGTTGTCGAAAAATGTGTTGCACCAGTGCATCATGGAGCTATTGGACAAGAAGAAGAAGCGTACGGCCGGTGCGCAGGAAATGTGCGAGGACATGGAATGCTTGGCTCAATTGCTCAAGACTTGCGGCAAGAATTTGGATTCAGAACAGGGCAAAGAGCTGATGAACCAGTACTTTGAGACGTTGGAACGTCGTTCAAAGTCAACTGAATATCCACCAAGGATACGCTTCATGCTAAAGGATGTTATCGAACTGCGCCAGAATCACTGGGTGCCACGCAAGGTAGGCACAACCGAGGGACCAGTGCCGATAAAGCAAATACGCTCGGACGACGACTCGATAATACGCACGCCATTCGCCAATCGGAATCGCGATATGCGCAATAATGATCGTGACGGAGATAGCTGGATGAACCGATGGATGAATCTTCAGCCCGGTGGCTACAATGATATGTTCAGCGGCCTTAGTGTAACCGGTGCCTCGCCTATTGTATCACCGTAAGTTTCTCTACAGATCATGCCCAACCCAAATGACGACTAATCGTTATACTTGTCTAAATAATATGTTTTTAAATCTTCTTTTCAGATTTGCAACCAGTGCAAATAACCAACGTGAGAATCGTCAATATAATAACCGTGATCGCAACAATCAGAGTGGCGGTGGAGGCAATTACAACAATCGCTATAATAAACATAACCAGAATAGCGGCGGTAATGGTGGAAATCGCGAGGATTCACGCAACTCCTCTCATAGAAACAACGATCGAAACGATGCCCAATATGGTGGTAATCAACTGCTGGGCAGCAAAGAGCTGGCACCGCGTTTCAAACGTAATTTGATCTCGACAAATCAAGATGCAGTCGAAAATTTGCAAATGCGTCCGGCTGCCAACTCCTTGCTTTTCCGAGCAGCTTCTCAGAATCAGAAATTTCCGACAACACTTCCCATATCAACACCACCCAATGTTAATGGCACCTCACAAAATAAGGAGCAGCAGCCACAGCTGTCCAATTCTCATTATCCTTTGCTTGCAACTCCAACTTCTCATCTAATCAATCCAACGCGTCCGGCATCCACTCCGTCGGCGGAATATGCTGAGAACAAGCAAACACAGGCATCTCATTTGCAGGGTGGCGCTGAGAAGGGTCTAAAAGCCACATCGTCCTCGCCCAATTTTGGAACAACACAAGTTTGCGAGAAGCCCACTGAGCAGCAACATAATGACAACTATTTGGCAAAGAGAACACCTTCTGAAAGCAAAGATCAAGGCAACTCGAAAAACGGCTCGGTTGAACGTCCATCCACTCCTGTTGGTGGTTCCAACAAGCAACTGAAGAAAGACAAGGGGCCAAGCAAAGAAGAATTGGCTAAGAAGGCAAGTGTGTACTTCAAGGAGAAATTCTACTATGACGAGCAGACCGAAGAGATAATAAACTGCATCGACAGTGCTGTAAACGCGCCAGATCAATTCGCCGAGCTAGTTGATGGATTCCTTGAGTTAAAACTTCCAGAAAAGTCTTTAAAGGACGTGTGTATCAACTTGCTTATGGAGGTGTTGGACCGTGTGAGCGATGTCTACCTGGAACGCGTCGTGCGTTTCTTGCAGACATTGCGCAAACAGTCCAGCATCAAACCGAACGTTGTGGTCGAAGTTTTCAAGCAGCTCGTTAACAAGATGAACGAACGTGAAGCTCTAAACCCACGCATTACCGCCCTTGTTGCAAATGTGCTCAGCAAGGCAGTGTGCGAGGAGCCGGCATTAATTAAGTTAAATGATATTGCCAATTACACTGACAACGGGCAACACTATCCGCTATTTTTATTGGTGCTGCAGCAGCTTCACAAAACAATTGGAAAGGAAGCACTGGAGGAGAAGTTCCGAGCGAGTAGAATCGATTTAATGAACAACTTACCGGAAGTGGATCGGAATAAAGAACGCATGGCCGAAATTTTAGAGGATCGCCAGCTGGCTTTCCTTTATCCATTGCTTAAAGTGCAATCTGAGATGTTGAAACAGCTACAAGGCGATCCCAATCCAAATAACTTCTACAAGTGGATTAAGGCAAATGTAGACAACAAATATTATAAAGATCCTGGTTTTATTCAGGCCCTGATGACGGTCATTGTCAAATACATAACTAAGGAGACGACATTGGCCAACAATGTAGACCCAAAGGAACATCCAGAGAAATCAGTGACACAAAAGGAGCAAGCTATGCTCGAAACATACAGCCAGATGCTTCAGACCTTTTTAAGCCAAAACGAATTGCAACTAATGGCGCTATATGCTCTACAACTTTTCTGCTATAATGAAAATTTCCCCAAAGGTAAGATACAATATATTCACTAAATTAATAAATTTCTGAATTGAAATTTAATTTTTGTTGTTGCTAGGTATGCTTTGCCGCTGGTTCAAATATCTATACGATTCCGAGATTATTGAGGAAGAAGCTTTCGTTCTCTGGAAAGAGGAAATTTCCGACAAATACCCAGGCAAAGGGTCTGCGCTGTTCCAAGTGAACGCCTGGTTGACTTGGCTACAGGAAGCCGAATCTGAAGATGATGAGGATTAAGCACCTTATAAACACTATTTGTATATCACTGCTATATTTATTCAAGATTAACACATTACGTAACGGAAAAAAGCTAGAAAAACAAAAAAAAAAAACAAGAAGGTTTAAAATTGCGGTTGCAAGTCTTAGTCAAATTGTAGTAAAAGAAAACAAAAAATAACTCAAAACAATACAGATCAAAATTATTTGATATTCGTTCAAAAAATCTTAATCCAAAGTCAATAAAATGCAATAGACGGAAACCACAATTATGATATTTATCGGGAACCTAGCAATCGCAGCATTCAAGAGCTGCATAATTCATTTGACGCGCGAAATGTTAAACAAAAGTTTTTAATTATATTGAAGTCCTAATTGCTAACATACATACATATAACCATAAAATAGTGAATTCCATTTATTTTACTAACTAAAATGAAACTGATGTTTTTTCCTTTAAAATTTTGTTTTGTAGCCCGCACAGTTCTTAATGGTACATTTATATATTAATTAAGTAGTTCAAATCGAGACCATTACAACTTACGAGTATATAAAGCCCTGCCCATTAATGATCAACAAAAGTAATTGTGCGTTCGTTGCCAAGTTCACAGGCCTGATTGTAATTGTGAACTTAATAATGGACATCAGTAACAGTATCTAAATACGTATATATGTAAATTAACAAAACAAAAAATATCGCCTATAGTACATCTGAAAGCCTTAATAAAACGAAAACAACACTGCGAACGGCGAAAAACAGTAGTTTTTTTTCAACAAATGTTTTTCGCGTTTGTATAGTAATTGCGGTTGATCTGATTTCAAAACGACTTGGTCGCAATGAAAAGCGTTCGCGTGCTACTTGGTAGCACTGTTGCGTTTGGAGCCCTAGGGTGTAGTTTGACGTTGCCTAACACGCTCTGCCAGTGCTGTCAATATAACTATTATTTCACAAAAATATTGCTGATTCACAAAACAGGTTCATGGAGTCTTAAACAAACAGAATTTTAAATCTTTTACTAATATTATTTTTTGAACATAATAATAAGGTAAGATACTGCCGTGCGATTTATAACCGAAAGCATTTGTTATTTGTTGTTCTCTTTTGTCGAAAGCCCAAATGAGCTCTATTGCGGCAGAACAACCAGAAGCCGGCGACAACAAATCGCAAGTGGCCAACGACCAGACCTCATTCACTTCACATGTTGCCAAATTGAAGGCCGGCGAGGACAACTTTATTCTACGCGTGCTTAAAATGAATGGCAGTACCTTTTTAATTTTTGGCGCCAGGGAACACGAAGTTTTTGAGGAGCTGGGAATGGCCCTACCTATGCGACCTCCTAGCAATGAAATTTTGTCCTCCACCATCTTGGGTGGCATTGGTCATAGCGATTCGGCGGCGCTGGCCACCAAATTGAGCAAGCGGTATGGGCGTCAATTCTTTGTTAGCCTCAATTTGAAACTGGACCGCATTAGTATGCCACTTTTTGACAAGGAACTGTCCACTTACATGCACGACCATTTAGAGTATTTCGTATAAGATAGTTCTAGCTTAAGCATGTACATATGTATTTATTATTAAACTTGCGCTCAAAGCGCCCTAACTCAATAATAACAATATTTATTTATGGTATACCATCGCATATGCATGAACATACTTGGATATGTATGTATGTGTAGATTGCGGCGTGACACGCCGTGGAGGGTCATTGGCAACAATGCGGTTATTTTGGTGCACCACGACCCCCACGGACATACCTACGGCTCATATTTATATGCAAGCACTCGTAGGTCAGACGTTCTGCATGCGTCAGTGAGTGCGCGCTTAATACAAAAACGTGATATTTCTAAAAAAGTTCACAAATTGGTTATTTTCAGTAAGTTCTGATAGCCAATTTGGTTCGTTGTTATCAAGTTTTGTGATACGTATTGATATGGGTATGCAGAGGAAAATTACCCGGTGTGTTCGAGGATAATACTAATAATAAATATTTCTATTTATTATTTTAAATTGGCAAACCAGCTATTATCATAAAGTTATGTTTATTTGTACATACTTTCATTTGTATGCTTATGTCATTTCAATATTACGCTGCGTGTTATCATTAAAGATTTGTGTGTGCCAACCTTCAAGCGTGCTGTTTATGTCCCATGCAAAGTCTCAGTTCGTCTGCCCCGAAATTCAAAAAAGTGAATTTATATACAAGCATACATACATACATATAGTATGTACATATGTTTGTTTGTTTGCATTAAGTGTGTTGATAACATGTGAGTGGTTTGGCTTTTAATGTCACACGTGCAATGTTCTTCAAAATTTCGTCATAAAAACATAAAACGTACCCGAATATTTATGTAGATGCAGTTATTTCTAAATAAGTACATTATTGGTGAACCCATAAAGTGTGTATTTCCATATGTATGTATGTATGTATGTATATGTACACATTGAAAATAAATTGTCTTAAGCAATTACAAATAATAATAATACTCTGCATAAGCATTACATAATTATTTATAGATTTATCATGTATACATAGAAAAGCTATCTACTGCAGTTTTGTAAAAATTTTAAATTTTATTTAATAGTTTCAAATTCTAAACTGATGCATAACAATTGGGATATATAGTATTTCTATGTACATACATACATATACATGTACATGTGTATATGTACATATGTATATCATTTCTTCCATTAAGTCGTGTGCAATCGTGGGTGCTTTTTGAATAACGGTTCAGAGTGTCCCAATCTTTCTGAATGTGATTTTTCCCAATTTGTATTAACCATGAACTGTCGATAGAGGTGCTGTAAAAGAAGGAACCTAAAGTCTACATTACAAACATTCTATTTTCATGAGAAAATAAATATACAATGGGCAGAATGTTTAATATGAACTCCATTAATGGACATCGAATTCTAGATAAGGTCCTAATAGTAAAATTATGCTCAATCATTGTATATAACACACAGCACAGCATGTTCAGTAATCGTTGCACATAAAGCAAGAAATCGTTCGGAAACCATAAAACATTTCAGAACTTCAGAGGCCCTCCAAAAATTATGGGGTGTATTGTTTCTAATAATACCTAGTCTAGACAAGATATCGTCTGTAGTGGCATATTGACGGAAATAATAACAACAAAAATATCGCGCAAATATTGCCAAAAATTCTTGTCCACCTACCACTGCAAACTTGTCGCTCCCACGATAGTGTGGAATTTTTTTGTTTATTCGTTCTTCTGTTGCTGTTGTTATCATTGTTGGCGCTCGTGCTTGTTACCAATTTGTTGTTGCTTTTCGGAGGCCATATCAGACTGTCTGGTTAGCTTTTCTTTGATAAGGCGCGGCGTGTGCATAAATAATGTGCAGCATTTTTTTTTATTTTAGGCAACTCAGTGGGGAGTTAAATTTCGGTTACATGGCTTCCACTACTAGGTGGGCGATCTGTGATAGATTTATTATTAGCAGTTTTACTTGACGGGACGATCCAATAAAACGATCCACTAATATTATTTGTATACTTATACATATGCATGCATGTACATATGTACATACATACATACATATTTATGTTAGTATTAGGCTCAACTATTGCAGTGAGTATGCCACATACAGCTGACTGGACTTTGCACGTCTATCGTTGTCAACCACAATAACAACAATAATAATAATAATAGCACAAACAAAAGCAACAAAGCAATTAGCCAACCACCAACCAACCATCGGACGCCGCTATATCTGTGCCAAAGTTCGTTCATATCAGCAGGACGGCGGCCCGACTCGGCTTGGCTCACTGAGAGGTTCTATCGCTGCCGCCGCCGCTTCATCCGTCGCTTTGCGTCCCGCGTTCCGTCGCTTCTAGATAATACACGCGCCGCCTCACACCATGCAGTCCAAAATGAGACCGAGAATAGAGTCGGTCAGCCAAACAGTCAGTCCCAATGTCCTTCACGTGTGCGTCTCAAGTGCTTAACAGAGCGCCCCACCACACGCCATCAGTCTCAAGCCGAGCTGATAAACCTACCGGCTTGAGCGCACGCCCCATAACCTCACGCCCCAAAAGCTACCAGTCAGCTAGCTAGCCAGCCGTGATTCTCAACAAGTCCCCGCCGATTATCAGTGCAGTCGACGTCGCTGTCTCATGGCACCTTCTGGCAGGCAGACGACCAGCTAGCCAGCCACAGCCCCAACCCCAACCCTCATCCAGTGCCTGGGTCTTATCAGTTGAGTACGTTGTTAATGTGATAGAAATACATATGTGGCATTATAGTATGCCAGAAGTCGGGAACGCTGCTAAACCAGTCGAAAGCGGTTTGCTGTGTATTGCTTCTGATTTTTCGACTTAAATCATTTGATGAACATGTTGTTTTTATTTACTATTTACTTTTAAGCTCTGCTTTTTGACCGGCAACAACAAAAATATGAAAATAATAATTAAGCGCAATTTTTTTTTAATATGTATTTTGATTTGCAAAATCAACAGCGAACGCTTATCAGCATTAGCAATAGCAGCTTCCCGAGTTTTGATGAGAAATATATACATACATACATATGAACATACATTCGTACATAGTTTTCTCTCTGTGTTAATCTTTGCTTGAAACAAATGTTAAATCTGATGCGGCGTCGTCTTATCAGCCCCTCACGCTACAAAGTTCAGAGCTCGATCCAGAAAATCCAGTTTGAATATTTTGTCCCTACCATTTGTTGAATAATTGTGCTTAATAATTGCCCTTGTTGATGTGATTTTGCTGATTATGTTCAGTCGGTTTGATGAAAACATGGAAAGTTCTATACTAATGGAGGGACTTAGGCTGCGGACCTTCACTGGAATTTGCCAATAAAAATAATAAATAAAGTCTATGGGTATATAGTATATGTACGTGTATGTGTTTCAACGAATTGCTACCAAAGGGAGGGCCTACGTGACCAGAGAATGGAGATAAGCTTAGCCTTTACCAAAAGTAAATTGAATGAATTTTTTGAAAAAGGCCGACTAACATTTACTATGTAAAATATTTTCATTTTTTTTGTTGCTTCTTACATTTTCCAAAAGGCTCAATAATCCATTAACGCCTAGCGTCGCTTATATACATACATACATGTACACATGTATTTTACAAAAATTTTGAATATTTTGAATATTTTTTTGAGGTACAATTTAATCTTCTTTATATATTGCATTGATCCCAAGTGATTCTATTATAGGCAAAATTCAGGTGTTCTGTTTTAACTCAAACCAAGTCAATTGACAATGGCAAACAAAATTGTATACATATCTATTCATCCATACATAAATAGTATTACTTATATACTCGTATGTATGTATGTACACAAATTTTCTAATTTGATCAGCAAATGTTCTATTATGATCGCGATCTAAATAAGAAACAGTTGAAGATAAATCAATCAGCCTTAAACAAGCCATTTATAAACGAATTATAATGTTTCTAGCCATGGATTTAGAGGCAGTAAGAATAGATTACACCTGCTGCGTGATTTCACGGTCATATGCACATATGTATATGTATATACATATGTATAGGTTATCAAAATAAACTGATGTCATTTCCGACAAGGTCTTTATGTAAGACATGCAGTAATCAGAATCACGGCCAAGACCCCTGGGGTATTGTACACGCGGGAACACTTCAAAAGCGAGTTATAAAGTCTTTTGCCCGATTCAAACATGTGAATCATTTCCTATCGCTTGGCTAGGGGCGGGCTGATAACTTCACCACCCAGCAGAGCGATACGGCCTACGTTCCAACGTAAACTCAATGAAAAGTAAACACAGACGACTGACAACTGAGAACTGACGACGACTCAGCTTTTTCGTCGTTCGATAAGAACAAGACCAGAGAACGAACGCCCGCTCCCGTAACCTCCCACCGCATAGCGCAGCAGTTGCCTCGAAACCTATTGGGAATACGCGTCTGGAAGATACGGAAAACAAGTGGCGAGCCGTCGTCTTCTTGACGTTTCGCTGACAACCACGATGCTTTATCAGACACACCTAACCCAGACATAGAGCTGGGATTTCTCTCCTGGGAGTGGGGACTACTGGTCTATTCTTGGCGCCAGTGAGATCGCCAGTAGTGCATAGCCTTACTTGCAAGCACACATACATACATACATACGTACAATGTATTTACATACTATACATATATGTATGTACACATGTGTATGAATGTGTTGGGTACGAAGTACAAGCAACGCGCAAAGTAGCGATAGCGCTTGCCCCCTAGAGCTCTCGATTTTCTGTTAGCAGCTTTATTCTTGCTAGTGATCATAAACACACACATACATATGTGTATGTTTGTATGTACACATATGTATATACATATATATATGTACGTGCATATGTACTATACTATATGCAAGCAGACACACATTAGTGGTTTTTCATTTTAGCGATTGATAAGCCGTTGCCTTCCTTCCCACCTTGCCCCAAGCATGACATGGCTAGGAAAATAACTGCAGACGATAAACGCTATTTCACTCACGTAGTGCGTACTGCCGCTCTAGAACCTGGTACGCATGTACGATATCGCCCCCTACTGGCCCCCCTGGGATACTGTTACTTCACAAAAGCAGCGCCTGACTGTTGGTCGAGCAGTACGTTTGCCACGCTGCACCAATTTTGGAACCTCGCTGAACAAAAATTGATGACCAGGTTTATGCGGAGCACAAAACTCGGCAGAAGTCATCCGAAATTATATTCCAAATTTCATATAATATTTTAAAAATTCCACAAGGATGAGGGATTTGTCTTTATTTCCGAGTAAATGGGAGTATAAAGGGTATTCCTAACTGAAACGGAAGACCATTTTCGAAACACAAATAAACGTGCCAGGTTTTGTACCTGATATTTATTTTTAGTCAAAAACGGTTATATGCATTTCACGATTGGCATATAAGATACATTGTCTAGTTTATGAAATTTATTGGCAGATATACAATCCTTGCCTTTACTGTCTTTTATAAAAATAAAGATTATGGGAGCGTGGCATTCTAATCGCAACCCTGTTTTCGGCTGTTTGTTTTGCCTTTGTTTATATAATCAAGAATTCAATGCTAATGTGCCATTTTCGGCTTATTTAAAAATAATATTCCAATACTCACTAACTGGTCTATTTGGAGGCTATACGATTAACGCCGATAAATTAATCAGCTTGTCAGTCAGTTGGGATAAATCGCTCTTTATAGGCAAATAAAAATGTATTACATTTAATTAAAATTGTTATTTATGCAGACGAAGCGATAGCAGAGGATTTGGGGGGCCTACGGACCACAAAATAATGATTTTATTTAAATGTGTCTTAATTTTTTCGTGATGACCCTGCGTGTATTTGAAAAACAAAAGTGAAGACTTTCAAATACAAGTATATGTATTTCTGTGCATTCGAATTTTTACAAACTGTTTATAAAAAAGCTCTTAACAAATGGGCGATACCTAAACAAATATTGAGAATTCTTTTTGTTTGGGGCTTTTGAATTAAAATTTACATTAAATTGTGTTAATTGATTTGATATAATTCTACACCAAAAATGTCTCTTCTTGCTTTGATAATTCACCTCGAATTCTCACTTGCATTGAGAGAGAGAGAGTTATAATTATAATTATTAAGTACAATTAACGATTTTTTGGCATGGTATAAACTGTGGCACTTTAGGCATACACACATGGATATATGTATGTACATTCTAAGTATATGTGTAAAAGACACGCGCACGCACCTAACATGCCGTTGTTAGTCTGTGTCTGGTGTTTTGGTTCTGATTATGTGAACCCACTTTCGTTCGCGCACTCTCCCCTGGCCTGTCTGCGAGCTACGCAGCCTTCGCCTGATAAGCGTGCGCAGCTCTCTTATCGCGAATAAACTTTCAATATTACACGAATGCCTGCAGACAAAACGCTCATTCGTTTGAAAATCGCACAAGCGCACGCTTCAATAAATTATATACAAATAAAGAGCTAAATCTTTAACAATTACAACAACAAAACACAACATGGATATAGTACAAAAGTCTTCACTCTATCACACCAGCAGCAGTGGCAGCGGCAGCGAGGTTTACGTGCCACCTGCAGGCTTCTACACGCCTTATAATACGCCGCCATACATAGCACCGTCGTATTGTCAGCCTAGCTGGCTGAGCGAGTCAGCAACACCATCATCTTCTTCACTGCCAATCTCCCTGGACGATGTTCAGCAACAGTTGCAGCAGCAGATGCAGCACGTAAGATTTCCGACGCCACCCAACACTCCACCGCGCGCCGATCACGTAGCCATAGCTGCTGCACCAACGTCCATACCCACACACAGTGCCCGCACCCAGTCCGTCATCATGAAGGTCCACAGTCCGCTGCATGCCTCCGCATCCACGCTGTACACGCTCGACGAAGGCAAGTCATGCAGCAGCAGCAGCGAGTGCGGCACTAGCAGCGACTTCCTCTGTAATTGGCTCGATTGCGGCAGGTAGGTTGGCACTTCCGTTTGCTTATCAGCATGGCGTACTAACTTGGCGCTGTGGTCTCTTTTTCTATACAGTATTTTTGATAGTCTGGAATCGCTTGCGCAACACGTCACCCAACTGCACGCGGTGGCATCCATGTCCGATGGTCTCTACTATTGTCGCTGGCTGGACTGCCAGCGTAGCGAGCGCGGCTTCAATGCTCGCTACAAGATGCTTGTTCATGTGCGTACGCATACCAAGGAAAAGCCTCATCGTTGCCATTTATGCGAGAAGTCCTTTTCGCGTGCTGAAAACCTCAAGATCCACATACGCTCCCATTCGGGTGAAAAGCCCTACAGATGCACCTTCGAAGGTTGTCAAAAGGCCTACTCAAATTCATCAGATCGTTTCAAGCACACGCGCACGCACTCCATGGAGAAACCATATATGTGCAAGATAGCTGGCTGTCAGAAGCGCTACACAGATCCCTCATCATTACGCAAGCATGTGAAGACGTTTAAGCACAGCATCCAAATGATGGCCAGTCAGCCGCCTCTCAGTGTGAGTGTTCATCAGCCCGCTTTTCATTTGGACGCGAGTGAACCGTCCTACACGCTTTGTCTGCCTGCTGTCAGCGGAGAAGCACCCGCTCGATACTACCTGGACATGTCCGAAGAAATGGCAGCCACTGATTACACATTGGGGTCCAAGCTGAATGCGGACTCCCGCTACTGGCGTGCACCACCGCACGGGTATCTGCATGGTGACGACTTCGCCATGGTGGACTCGCCGTTAGATTTACGAGTGAATCGAAGCTGAAAGTGGCGCCACAATGCGTGTACGCACTATCCCTCTAGTCCACATGCCATCTAGTCCTTTTAGGTTTACCCATTAGTGTTTAATAAATAATATCGTTTATTGCCTACATCGAAGTTTCTTAACTCACATCCAAAAAGTTCACGCCATCATCGTCTATAACAATTGGCTGATCGTTCAAGGTGCGTTGGTTATCGGGCAACAGTTTCAGTTGTATTTTGTGGTCTACTTTTATTTGAATGGCTAACTGCGTCCCTGTAGTCGCCTTCTGCTCCGCGAAACTCTGATCCAAGGTGTACATGCAGCAGACATTATGCTTGTTGCAGATCTGACTCAAACGGGAAAGCCACTGCATATAGTAGCTGTGTTTGCGCATACGCTTCTCTCGCACATCCAGCCAATAGAACTCGCAAAGCGTATCGACAGCTATTAGAGCCACACCCTCGTTCTCTGCAAGCAAATGATCCAACATTACCAGAGCCAGCTCCAGTTCCTCAGAAGAATAGCAATTGAGGATTTTTATAGCTTTTAGGCATTCATTAGCTGCTTTGTTCAGTTCATCAGCTGAATGAAGATGATCCGTAGCCGTTTCTTTCATCATGTCCAGGAAACGTCTCTTAAACAACGGCCCAGACAACTTGTGGCTCAGATTTAGCAGTATGACGTCACAGCCCTTGCCATCAAATGAGCTGGGCAGCGCACAACGTGCCATTAACTCCATCAGTAGAAAACTTTTGCCCGTGTCTGTTTTGCCCGATATTTCAACCAAAGCTTTTGCAGCAGGTCCTTCTTGGAAAATCCGCGGGCTTAATCCAGAAATGCGTGGACGTTTTTCCCCGCGCTGCTGCAGCACGAATTCGGACAGTTTCTGGACCCTGTTAACGCGCCCCATGCCCAGCATTTTGTAATTTAATAATATTAACTACAAGCCAGTTAATTAAAATAAAGATTAATAGTGTTGATAATTCCCGCTCAATTGTTTTAAAATATCGATACCTTATGCAGTGTTGTAAAAGCCAAGCCATAGATGATAGTCGCCCGCCAATTTTAAATTAGTGTTACTTTATTAAATGCTACACGAATTTTTACAGTTTATATTATTTTTTGAATGCATTTAGAATTCAATGCATTATTAATTGTATTATTAGAATCAATTTTAAATATGTTCATTTTAGCGGAATGTTAGTCAATCTACTTCCCCGCGCATATTATACAAACAACAAGAACAAATAAATTAAAAAGGAGAAACCTTTACACGTACTGAAAATATATATCATATGTATGTAGGTACTTGTTAAAAGCTGAAACTTAATGAGTCGGAAACAAATGTTTCCAACGTATAAATAATGCACAAAATTCATTTTTCTGTATAAGGTATAAGGAAACAATGATGTTCTTTTTAGTTTTATAGCTGTTGAGCATACTGGACAGCTAATTAACGATGGTTAAGAGTGCGTTCGAAAAAAAGGTTACGAAAAACTGTTGGAATACATATTCTTAAACAAAATTTATGTCCAACAAGGAAGAGTTCCTTTGAACGCAATGCTTGGTACATATACGAATATATGTATACAAATATGGACATAACATTTTTTATAATTTAAGGAAGAGTTCCTTTGAACGCAATGCTTGGTACATATACGAATATATGTATACAAATATGGACATAACATTTTTTATAATTTAAGGAGCTACGACAAACAGAACAAGTAACATTGCCTGCAGTCTTGTGGCTCTAATACATACACATAGTACATTATAAATAAATATATGAGTTTTAAACCCACATAAGCCACATCCTATTTATATTAATATTGGGCCACCACAAACGAACCTAAAAACGAGCTTATGCTCTAAAGAATCTTACAACTCTTACAACATATTGTCGACAAATTGGACACTCGGGGCACTGCTTGCCACAGCTGGTACATGTGGCCATATGTCCGCACTCCAAAAATACGCACTCAATGGGCGCATCCATGCATATTTTACAAAGCTCATCAGTAGGAAGTTTCTCAACGGCTGGAAAAAGCGTAGTTTTCTGATATTAGATCACTTGAAGAGTTTTGAAGATACTCACCTGGTGTTGAGTGCATATTCTTCCATAGTCTGGTCACGCGATCCAGCAGTTCCTGTTTTTCGCAGCAGCCTTTGTAGTCAACACGATGCAACATTAGCACCTCTTTTAATTGTTTCACCGTTAAATTCTCCAAGTCTTTTCTGTGATATATTAAAAGAAACAAAACGGTTTGATTTGCAAATGCATAAATGTACTTGACCTGACTTACATATCCTCAAAGTCTTGCAAGTTAATAAAGCGCGAGTCTATGCAAGCTGAAGGCTCAAAACCCAGTGGCGCTGCATACACATGTATGCCCTCATCATCATCCCAATGCGAATCATCGTTTGTCGGCGAAAATTCAATCGTGGGCGTTATCGGCATGCCGAGGGCACTGCCCCTGGCACCCGCACCGCTTCCTGCGACGCTATCAATCTCCACACTTAGCGGCGACAGCGCGTGACTTTCAGCATCCGAGCAGTCAACAGATTTCGTACGCTGTTCCAAGTAGCAAAGAAATTCCTGCAGTTCGCGCTTAATATCCTCCTCCGACATTTGTGAACTCTCCAAATGCCGTCGCATGCGCTCTACATGACGCTTGATGCTAGTTTTATTTTTACCACAGCGCTGACAGCTATTTCGATTTTCCTGTGTCTCAGCAAGAGTTCCCGCCTCTGGCTGTTCACTCAACGTGGCCAAAACGATATTCTGGATAGCGACGGGCGACTCATCATCGCTGGAATGATGCCGACGATTCAAGCATCCATCGGATCGACGTCTGATCACCTTTTTTGTGCGTCCATGCGGTGCGTCGGCATATGATGATTGTTGGTATACTGACCCACTCGGTACATTGCGTTGTTCGATATTTAGCGTCTGTGTTGAAGTCTGTCCCTGCTCTCCAGCGCGTACTGTCACCTCTAATATTTCCTCTGGGCCATTTTCCGTTGGTATATTCAGGCTCAGATGGGGAGCGTCTGCAGCTGCTGCCGAAGTATCAATATGCTCGTTCCGACCGACCTCGAGCACTTGCCACTGATCCAAGTTGCTGCTGTTCGTATCTGTTGCCGCCTTGCTTTCATCGGAAATGCCACCAATAGCACCTAGTTCTTCAAAGCTGGATTGCGATGAAACATCGGCACCACATGCGTCCACTTTAGAGCTTAGGGAGCCATGTTTGGAATAGCCTGGACTAGTGTTGGTTGTCGTTGTGGTCGATGGTCCCAGGCCAGCTGAATTTGGCTCCGCCGGAGGTTTACTGAGGCTTACCTGACCACTGTTGTCCGTTTTGAGCGACAAGCGCTCGCTGAAAGTGGCAATGATTTCATCATCTGAGCACTCGCAATCTGATCCATCCAAATCGTTATTTTTATGCTTAGCTGCCTCCGCACCATTATGAGTTGTTGTGGCAGGATTCCCACTAGTGGCTGCTTGTGCTGTCGTTGGCGACGTTAAGGTATTTGGTGTTGCTGCTGCACTAGAGGTCGTGGGGGTGTTGCTGCTGCTGTTGCTTAAATCACTAACATGCACATGAACACGTTCAGCCGAGGTGTTACTAACAGGTGCAGCGAAAAACGATGTATTAGTAGCACTGGCATAAGTTGGAATCTCACGCGTAGAGACACGAGGCTGTTCAAATATATGCGAAGGTCCATTGTCGTTGGAGGTATGACGACTGTTTGCACGGCTATTGCCTTCCGCTTTCGACGTCGGCTTTGTGTCGAAAGACGCAAAGGAATCACTTAAATTGTCGCTCAGGTTGGTGAAGAAATTTTGGCACGTCTGTTTCAGGTTGTCAATGGGATTGGATTGACCCCGACCGGGACTATTCGGGGAATTGGGGGAACAAAAACTGTCACGATCTATTTGGGCGACATGATTCATCACGAGCCCGACTAGTTCTTCTTTTTCTGCAATATCAAAATCAAGTTCATAAATCGGTTTGTTTTTAAGTAAATAACAGAGTACCTACCCAAACAGCCCTCCGTAGAAATGTGTTTGGACTGTAGGAAGAATATTAAATCCTTCGGTTTCAGTTTCAACAAATCGGTTCGCAACAGGGGTCTTTTGGCAAATATTGCACATCTCTGACATCGCTTCGTTGCAGTGAGGCAATTGTTGCAGTAGTAACGCCTAGATATTGACGAGTGATCGTTATTTAAGATTCGTTGTGTATTATATTTTAAAATATCATGGTGAAAGTGAACTTACCTGCAATCGAAGCAGCTGCGCTTACGGCGAAATACCGTAAATTCCACACGACACGTCTCACAAGGCATGGTAAAAGACCCCCCTTTCGTGCGCCTTTTCGTTCGACCCTGCTATCCTTGTCCTTCGTTCCTACGCAGTAAACATTGCTGTTCAATTTCAAATTAATGAATCACCTCAAACTAGCATGCTGCATTGACGTAAGCTGCAGCGTGGAAACGGATAAGATAATGCATATCGAAGATAAGAACTTACATCGATCTACAATACAACCTCAACAAAAACTACTTATGTATCCTTGCCCCTTTACATCAAACTGCTTTCAACTAAACTATACAAGCTGCTGAGGCTGCAATATCCAACATGTTCACAATAGCACATTCACAATAAAAACCATGGCCGAAAACCAAAAATCCATTATGTAGAATGGGTAGCATTGAAGATAGGTAGCACTCCTCCAGAAGAGATAAATAACTGAGAATTGAATTTTAACGACCCCCTCTCAGATCCAATGCAGGCAGGATTAAAGTTTTATAGTTCAGGCGTGTTCACATAATTTTTGTTTTTACATTTATTTAATACACATCCACTACTTAAGATTAGGCATGTAACTATGTATATGCATATTATAAGTTAGGTGCATTAAAAGGTTGCAGTTTTCTTTTAAATAATACATTTTTTAATTGCTAAATATTATAAGATTTGCGATCATTAAAAATACTTTTTTATAGATACTAAGTAAATTATGTATATACACATGCGTTTTTATATGATTGAGCTTTCAGAAATTCTTGTGGATAAGTCTTTAATTAAATAAACAAATGCGACCGTTGCTCCTGTTACGGGAAAAATATTTGTAAGTAAATTATTTGCTTTGTTTGCTGGTTACTCTTTCTTTTGCAAGTTAAGCACATGCTTTGCGATGAATCATTTAGCAGCGCCAGCACCGCATCGTACGGCCGCCTTTTTTGCGGCGTCAGAGTGGCTACAATCGATTTAGTAGACATATATGTGAACATATGTATATAGCTAACAGCGAGCAAGCAAGCAAATAAATATTGAAGTTGAAATGTACAATTTGTTTAAAATCTATTGGCGAGTTGAAAGTTGCTTGACCTCTACTTCTACGTGCATTCTGCGCTGACTACGTGCTCAATTTAATACTATGACACATGGCTTGGATCGCCGCCACCTTTGACATGGGCCTGTAATGGGTCGTCATTATTGTTGTCGTCGTCATGCATTGCTGTAGGTGCAATCGATTCAGTTGCAGTTTTCCCTTCCAGCGCTCGAGACTTCTCATAGTCGACGAAGTCGTCGAATAGACTTGGCCACGCCTCGGTATCGTCGTAATTGTCTATATCACATTGTTCTGTAAAATTGAGGTACATGTTCCATGTATCCTTCGGTATGCGGCGTATATTTGGATGCTTTTCGAGAAAGTGTATCCAGTTTGAAAAGAGATCAGGCGTTTGAACAGTGAACACCAATTTCCACAGATCGATGGCCATGTCGAGCGAAAGTACACGCTGATCTGGCTCCAGACCAAAACTGTAAATGCAATTTTTCATAATTTAGCAACAATTGATATAAAATATTAATGATGACTTACCGAAAGGTAAAGCGGTAGAGTTGCTTGAACATTTCTGTGTCCACCCTCAACATTTCTATTGTTTGCTCAAGCCTAATGCGTATTGTTGCAATCGTGTCGGCGCGCATCTTATGCAATCCATCGATAAACTCTGTTTTGGTAAAACGACACATTTGCGATGCATCCAAACACCAGGCGAGAACCAGAATAGCGAATTCATCGGGCTGATAGTTCAAATCATTGCACAAACGTTCAATGCCCTCAGGGAGTATCATATCCTCATCAACAGGATCTTTGTACACATCGAACAGCCTATTGAGGGTTTGATGTGACACCTCCATTGATTCTTTGACCGCTACAAATTAGGATTGTTAGCTTAATAACATAAATACTACAAGAAATTGTCCTTACCACTTGTTATTATATCACTCATTGTTGGTGCACTTCCATTAAGCAAACCAATAGGCTTAAAACTATTACGCTTAGTATCACAATTTGATTTGAGTGGACTTCTTGTAGAAAGCAATTCGTCAGTTTCTGCAGCAAAACAAATGAACAATGAGAATTTGGCATTAAAACCCCCGGCCTTAGTGATCAAATGTAAGTTGGCTACTACTACTAACCTCGTGGCCTGTCGTAAATGGCGCAGCGATCATTCGCATTGACAACTCTTGTTCCGTAGCAGTTGTTGTCAATACTTGTGGCAGCTTGGCAGGCGTGGTTGGAGTGAGAGGCGTATGCGTTAGGAGACGACGATGTTGGCAACGAATTTTCGGTAGACGTTTGGAAGCATTTCAAGCAATTGCCCATAATTGACACTATTTAAAAATGTTGCTCCTGTGAGCTGTTGCTGTGTTGCTTCCCCACACGTTCCTTAATATCTTTTACTAAATGTTCTATACATATACACACATACATACATATGTATATCGTTCTATATGTATTTCCGAAGAGTTGACACTTCCGCTGCACTGACTGGCAGAAACAGCACGAATCGTTGTCAGATTGGATGGCTGTTAGACTGTTACTAAGTAAAGCGATGGCTGCGGGGTTTGGCACTATTTTTACTGGAATCTGCATGAATCGAACAACTCCAACTGATGTGACGCATAGACGAACTAAACATATGGTAAGGACTCCTTGTTGTACCCTGCTGGTGTTGTTATTTTGGTACTTCCTACGCAAACGCACTCATGCAACCTCTCATATACGTATATATGTATGTACATACATATACACAGTAACGTAGACACACACAGCTACTACTACAGTAGTAGTCCACCAACGTGTGTGAGCTTGTATATGTTATTTTAGTTTTTACATTTTCATCTGCTCCACTGCACTACCCATATTTAGTTCACACTATTGAAAATAATTATTTGGAATTTAAATATGTCTAAATAGCAATGGCAAACGTTGTTTTTCCGTTCAGAGTATGCTTCTTCGTGCTCCTGTAGCAGTGTGTGTCGATACTTGTATGTATTATCGTTTATCGAGTGTACGTACGCAATCGAAACAATATCGTTTTAATTTAAAGAGCTGCATGTTGAAATTAAATAATTGAAAAAAAATGTTAATATTTACTTTTACCGTTTATGCTTAGGTTTCTTTGGCATATACGCGATTTATGTTTGACATTTTCAAACGATATATTAATTTCTTTTCGATGACTTGGCACCTCTACCCTAATTACGCGCGCTCTCTTGTTGGCCATAACAACGAGCAATTGCTCATTCCCGGTTTTAAACCAACTCCAACCAACTTCAGTTACCAAGAAGCACTCGACGCGATAATTTGTGTGTTTCAGCTCTTCTAGTGATCGTTGGAAGTTTTCGCAAAATAAGCAAAAGAAAGCCGTCAACTTTTGTCGTTGTGTTTGTCTCAAAAAGAAAAGTGTTAAGCTGTTCACTGGGAAATTTTTATTTTTTATTTAACGTAAAAAAGACGCGTATGAAATTCGGCAAGATTTTAGAAGCCCCTTTGTAGTCATCAACAGTTAAGGTTGAGTGACCCAACTTGGCTTTTTCGTTTTTTTTTTATTGTTTTGACAATTGCGACCAAACAAAAAAGGTTGAGTGAACTTGTAAGCTAGGTAATGAAATTTTCTAACCATGCTTATGCGGTTGTGTGTGTTTATATGTTGTGCATGAATTCCGAAACGTACGCAAGTGCGCTTTCCACATCATTGTTATTACATTCATCGTGTGAATGAATGATCGTACATTTTTTAAAGGAAAAGTTGCACATCATTTTCTTGTGGTCAGTTTCATTTTTGTTCTTATTGGAGTTGTGTTATACTTAATATGCGAGTTTGTTGGGGTGGGTTCATTGCTTAACGGAAAAGATAATTCTAAATAAGTTTTTATTTGTTCAATGTATATAAGTAGTTTCCTAAATAATGCAAAATATATGGATTTGGCGCTTTGTATTCAGTCGTCGTGCTCTATAAGTACATTGATTCGGCCATTTGGGACATCTTTTTGGGTAAAAGAAGCATGGTGTCGAGATAGCTTGCGAGCTCGTTAGCGTTGACATCATTCAAAATATCTACATGCATTGGTGTAGAACGGTTGTAATTCTTGGGGCTTTTGTCCAAATACCCATAGATATTTGCAAACGAATGCCCATCATCTGTATCTCCATTCGCAGACGGACACTCGACTACAAAACTCGTGAAATCGTAGGGATCCAGCTCATTGGAACACGGGCCAGTTCTCTTGGTTATCCAAGATACGTCCTCGTCATCTATCAGGTTGCATTGTAACCATTGGCGCCCCATATTTTTTACTTTATTCTGCAAGCTTTGCAAGACTGGCTGCTTCAAAATAATTCTGGGCTTCATTGGCTGCACTTTAACGCGCAAAGCACTCTCGTCTTTCAAGTTCTCGACATCGACCGAACTTTGCAGCTGCGTTTCGTCTGCCATAGAGAGTTGCTTAATGTCTCCTTTAAGTGGCGCAAGGCTCGTACTTAAAGTACAGCTACAATAGTGGGAAAAGAACGGATTCCGATCGACGGAAAGGACACCTTGCTCTTCACTGATTTTTAGATTACTCAACTGAACATTCAGCTCTTTAACAGACATAGTTATAATAATTGGAATTAGAATGTTGATGTGTATGTGTAGATGTTTATGTGCAAAATGAAATTTTAACTAATATTTGAAAGTATATTGGCATGTAATACCCATGTTGTCTGTTTGTTACAATAAGTAGTATTAATTTGATTTGACATTCTTTCCACTTTTAACATAGTTTATGGAAATCAAGTAACTGGCAGATAAAAACAGCAACAACAATGTCTTCGGATCGTTTTCACAAGTGAGTACATGCAATTAATTTTATTCTATCTTATCTGCATTCGGTTGCACACAAAAAACAGAAACTCATTTAGATATCAAATTTGTTTGCATTAGAGCTGCTAAAGATGGCTTGCTCGATGTGCTCAAAGAAGCTACCCGCAAGGATACGAATGCCAAGGACGATGACGCAATGACGCCCGTTATGTGGGCTGCATTCGAGGGACGTCTGGATGCCCTTCGTTTGCTCTGTGGCAGAGGGTTAGTAGGCATCCCACTCTCAACATTTTCGTTTTCTTACAATTAAGGAGACAGCTTATTCATGTTTTATCTTAGCTTAGGAAATGTCCGATTAGGTTTTTTTTTCAATGTAAAAAGTCCTGCGTTTATACATTTTCATATGTACATATACAAGTATGATAAAGAATCGAACCATCTTAATTTTCAATATATGAATATCAAAGTAAATCTGATTAAAAAATTCCTATTGTTATTTTAGAGTTTTAATGAACTCAGAAGGTGTGCCAGACTAAGATAGGATTTATTTTTTTCAAAACAACTCATACCCATCCTTAAAAGCAATCATCAATTTAGTGATAAGATGAGAAAAATACTAAAAATTCGGCTATATAGAAGTCAAAAATGTAGAGAAAAATTGCTTGTGTCCAGATGTTGCTTGAGACAATAACAATCTTTAACTTCAAAATATAGTTTATAATTACTCTTTTGATATAAATTTGATTAAGGTTTTCTAATATGTTTATTAATTATTAAAAACGTATTTCAAGCATTTCCAATGAGCTCCTCAGATTATTTCCAACATATCTTACAAGGTAGAGATAGGGCACTAAATGCTTACAGTACAGCCTTGCTTTTAAATGCTCTCCGAAATTCAAAGGCAGTTTTATAGTTTGGGTTGGATAGTAATTTTCCGTTTGCTTTATAGGGGCGATCCCGATAAATGCGATCAGTTTGGAAATTCTGCACTGCATTTGGCAGCTGCCAAGGGCCACTTACATTGTGTCGATTTTCTCGTTAAATTTGGTGTCAACATCTATGCCTTGGATATAGATAAGCATACGGCAAAGGATTTGGCAGCTATAAATAATCGCGACGAGATTTTGCGCTACTTGGATACAGCTGCAGCCCAATTTGAGGCAACGGAAAAGTGAGTTAAAGACTCGTAAGACCGACAACTGAATAATTAATGAATTTATTTGTTTCACAGAAAAAAGTCGAAGGCCTTAAAGGAGTTAGCTGAGAAAAATTGTGAGAAACGAGTGCGTGAATACATGAAGCGCCAGCAACTGCAACAGCAGCGCCAAGAGCACGAATATTGCGACCTAAAGCCACCGAATATATCCACCTATGGCATAAGCAAGTCCAGCAATATGCTGTCCACTTTAAAGCAGAAAATATGGTCCAGCCAGGGCAATCTGAATAAAACACCACGGGAACAACTACCCGCCCCGGCAAAGAGTGGTGCCAGGTTCAGTGACCTGGTTGGTGCTGGTGGCAACGGTGGCACCAGCAGCAGCGGTGGCTCCACTATAGCGAGTCGGTCAGGTGCTTGTGGCATGCACAAGATGCAGCAGCAACTGCAGAAACCACAGCATGGTAAGGCTTGTCCGCATGCCTCAGATAACGGCGCATTCAAGGTGCGTGAAACGGAGGCGGATGGGAAACGGACAATAACGTCGCTTACGGGACTACAGCGTGACTCCGAAGTGCTATATGTGGGCACATTTAGCTCCACGGAGGACGGCAATGGCAAGCGTGGCAAAATTAGCGACGTCTTCGAAGTAGAAGAGACCTGCAGCGATTCCGAACGCAATGGCGGCCGAATAGGCTACAATACGTCCCTGGCACGCTCATTCTCCCAACCCGACATACTGGGTGATTCGCGAGAGACGGGCGAACTGAACGAGGACTTGACGCTGCAAAGACCTGTTGGCCTTTTCGATAGACCCACTATGTTGGGCAGCATTGCATTTCGGCGTTCGGTAACGGCGGCCCTAAGTCAGCTGCATACTGACTCAACGGATACAATATCCACCTCAACAGCCGCCACAGCCCGGCTTCGCAACACGATGGTGGGGCGTGGTAGCAGTAGTGGCAGCAACAATACCAATAGCCACAACAAGACTCGTTCGGGTGCTGGCAAGGCACGCTTGTACCTGAATCTGTCCGATGACACAGACTCGGAAGATGGCAATGATGTTTACAGCGACGACGATGAGGACGATCAGGAGAGCTCGGGAGGCGCCTTGCAGCGTTTTCTTGCTGTTTGGGCCTTGGAGGAATATTTGCCAGTGTGAGTACTCTTATAGTAGCATATTAGTTGTCACTTTCAAATGGTTAACAAACGTTTCTTAATTTTAAAGTAAAGCTACAAAAATTATTATTAATTCATTTATTTGATTTTCTTGGTTTTTGATGCTGACGTGGCTTCACTTAGGTGCCTCGTAGGAGAAGCGCAGAGGAGGGCAGACTTTTGAATTTAATTTCAAAAAATGTTATTTATTTATTTGATTTTTTGGACTTTTGATGCTGACGTGGCTTCGCTTAGGTGCCTCGTATGAGAAGCGCAGAGAAGGGCAGTCTTTTGAATTTAATTTCCAAAAACTATTATTTATTTAGTTGATTTTCTGGGTTCTTGCTGCTGACGTGGCTTTGCTTAGGTGCCTCGTATGAGAAGCGCAGAGGAGGGCAGTCTTTTGAATTTAATTTCCAAAAACTATTATTTATTTAGTTGATTTTCTGGGTTCTTGCTGCTGACGTGGCTTTGCTTAGGTGCCTCGTATGAGAAGCGCAGAGGAGGGCAGTCTTTTGAATTTAATTTCCAAAAATTATTACTTATTTATTTAATTTTCTGGGCTTTTGATGCTGCCGTAGCTTCGCTTAGGTGCCTCGTATGAGAAGCGCAGAGGAGGGCAGTCTTTTAAATTTAATTAACAAAAATTATTATTTATTTATTTAATTTTCTGGGCTTTTGATGCTGCCGTAGCTTCGCTTAGGTGCCTCGTATGAGAAGCGCAGAGAAGGGCAGTCTTTTGAATTTAATTTCCAAAAACTATTATTTATTTAGTTGATTTTCTGGGTTCTTGCTGCTGACGTGGCTTTGCTTAGGTGCCTCGTATGAGAAGCGCAGAGGAGGGCAGTCTTTTGAATTTAATTTCCAAAAATTATTACTTATTTATTTAATTTTCTGGGCTTTTGATGCTGCCGTAGCTTCGCTTAGGTGCCTCGTATGAGAAGCGCAGAGGAGGGCAGTCTTTTAAATTTAATTAACAAAAATTATTATTTATTTATTTAATTTTCTGGGCTTTTGATGCTGCCGTAGCTTCGCTTAGGTGCCTCGTATGAGAAGCGCAGAGGAGGGCAGTCTTTTAAATTTAATTTGCAAGAATAATTACTTATTTATTTATTTGATTTAAATAAATAATAATTATTATTTATTTGATTTTCTGGGTTCTTGATGCTGCCGTGGCTTCGCTTAGGTGCCTCGTATGAGAAGCGCAGAGGAGGGCAGTCTTTTGAATTTAATTTCCAAAAATTATTACTTATTTATTTGATTTTCTTGGTTTTTGATGCTGACGTGGCTTCACTTAGGTGCCTCGTATGAGAAGCGCAGAGGGCAGTCTTTTAAATTTAATTAACAAAAATTATTATTTATTTATTTAATTTTCTGGGCTTTTGATGCTGCCGTAGCTTCGCTTAGGTGCCTCGTATGAGAAGCGCAGAGGAGGGCAGTCTTTTAAATTTAATTTGCAAGAATAATTACTTATTTATTTATTTGATTTAAATAAATAATAATTATTATTTATTTGATTTTCTGGGTTCTTGATGCTGCCGTGGCTTCGCTTAGGTGCCTCGTATGAGAAGCAAAGAGGAGGGCAGACTTTTGAATTTAATTTCCAAAAATTATTATTTATTTATTTCATTTTCTGGGTTCTTGATGCTGACGTGGCTTTGCTTAGGTGCCTCGTATGAGAAGCGCAGAGGAGGGCACTCTTTTGAATTTAATTTCCAAAAATAATTACTTATTTATTTATTTGATTTAAATAAATAATAATTATTATTTATTTGATTTTCTTGGTTTTTGATGCTGACGTGGCTTCGCTTAGGTGCCTCGTATGAGAAACGCAGAGGAGGGCAGTCTTTTAAATTTAATTTGCAAGAATAATTACTTATTTATTTATTTGATTTAAATAAATAATAATTATTATTTATTTGATTTTCTGGGTTCTTGATGCTGCCGTGGCTTCGCTTAGGTGCCTCGTATGAGAAGCGAAGAGGAGGGCAGACTTTTGAATTTAATTTCCAAAAACTATTATTTATTTAGTTGATTTTCTGGGATTTTGATGCTGAGGTGGCTTCGCTTAGGTGCCTCGTATGAGAAGCGCAGAGGAGGGCAGACTTTTGAATTTAATTTCCAAAAATAATTACTTATTTATTTATTTGATTTAAATAAATAATAATTATTATTTATTTGATTTTCTTGGTTGATGCTGACGTGGCTTCGCTTAGGTGCCTCGTATGAGAAGCGCAGAGAAGGGCAGTCTTTTTAATTTAATTTCCAAAAATAATTACTTATTTATTTATTTGATTTAAATAAATAATAATTATTATTTATTTGATTTTCTGGGTTCTTGATGCTGACGTGGCTTTGCTTAGGTGCCTCGTATGAGAAGCGCAGAGGAGGGCACTCTTTTGAATTTAATTTCCAAAAACTATTATTTATTTAGTTGATTTTCTGGGTTCTTGCTGCTGACGTGGCTTTGCTTAGGTGCCTCGTATGAGAAGCGCAGAGGAGGGCAGTCTTTTGAATTTAATTTCCAAAAATTATTACTTATTTATTTAATTTTCTGGGCTTTTGATGCTGCCGTAGCTTCGCTTAGGTGCCTCGTATGAGAAGCGCAGAGGAGGGCAGTCTTTTAAATTTAATTAACAAAAATTATTATTTATTTATTTAATTTTCTGGGCTTTTGATGCTGCCGTAGCTTCGCTTAGGTGCCTCGTATGAGAAGCGCAGAGGAGGGCAGTCTTTTAAATTTAATTTGCAAGAATAATTACTTATTTATTTATTTGATTTAAATAAATAATAATTATTATTTATTTGATTTTCTGGGTTCTTGATGCTGCCGTGGCTTCGCTTAGGTGCCTCGTATGAGAAGCGCAGAGGAGGGCAGTCTTTTGAATTTAATTTCCAAAAATTATTACTTATTTATTTGATTTTCTTGGTTTTTGATGCTGACGTGGCTTCACTTAGGTGCCTCGTATGAGAAGCGCAGAGGGCAGTCTTTTAAATTTAATTAACAAAAATTATTATTTATTTATTTAATTTTCTGGGCTTTTGATGCTGCCGTAGCTTCGCTTAGGTGCCTCGTATGAGAAGCGCAGAGGAGGGCAGTCTTTTAAATTTAATTTGCAAGAATAATTACTTATTTATTTATTTGATTTAAATAAATAATAATTATTATTTATTTGATTTTCTGGGTTCTTGATGCTGCCGTGGCTTCGCTTAGGTGCCTCGTATGAGAAGCAAAGAGGAGGGCAGACTTTTGAATTTAATTTCCAAAAATTATTATTTATTTATTTCATTTTCTGGGTTCTTGATGCTGACGTGGCTTTGCTTAGGTGCCTCGTATGAGAAGCGCAGAGGAGGGCACTCTTTTGAATTTAATTTCCAAAAATAATTACTTATTTATTTATTTGATTTAAATAAATAATAATTATTATTTATTTGATTTTCTTGGTTTTTGATGCTGACGTGGCTTCGCTTAGGTGCCTCGTATGAGAAACGCAGAGGAGGGCAGTCTTTTAAATTTAATTTGCAAGAATAATTACTTATTTATTTATTTGATTTAAATAAATAATAATTATTATTTATTTGATTTTCTGGGTTCTTGATGCTGCCGTGGCTTCGCTTAGGTGCCTCGTATGAGAAGCGAAGAGGAGGGCAGACTTTTGAATTTAATTTCCAAAAACTATTATTTATTTAGTTGATTTTCTGGGATTTTGATGCTGAGGTGGCTTCGCTTAGGTGCCTCGTATGAGAAGCGCAGAGGAGGGCAGACTTTTGAATTTAATTTCCAAAAATAATTACTTATTTATTTATTTGATTTAAATAAATAATAATTATTATTTATTTGATTTTCTTGGTTGATGCTGACGTGGCTTCGCTTAGGTGCCTCGTATGAGAAGCGCAGAGAAGGGCAGTCTTTTTAATTTAATTTCCAAAAATAATTACTTATTTATTTATTTGATTTAAATAAATAATAATTATTATTTATTTGATTTTCTGGGTTCTTGATGCTGACGTGGCTTTGCTTAGGTGCCTCGTATGAGAAGCGCAGAGGAGGGCACTCTTTTGAATTTAATTTCCAAAAATAATTACTTATTTATTTATTTGATTTAAATAAATAATAATTATTATTTATTTGATTTTCTTGGTTTTTGATGCTGACGTGGCTTCGCTTAGGTGCCTCGTATGAGAAGCGCAGAGGAGGGCAGTCTTTTAAATTTAATTAACAAAAATTATTATTTATTTATTTCATTTTCTGGGTTCTTGATGCTGACGTGGCTTTGCTTAGGTGCCTCGTATGAGAAGCGCAGAGGAGGACAGTCTTTTTAATTTAATTTCCAAAAATATTTACTTATTTATTTATTTGATTTAAATAAATAATAATTATTATTTATTTGATTTTCTGGGTTCTTGATGCTGCCGTGGCTTCGCTTAGGTGCCTCGTATGAGAAGCGCAGAGGAGGGCAGACTTTTGAATTTAATTTCCAAAAACTATTATTTATTTATTTCATTTTCTGGGTTCTTGATGCTGACGTGGCTTTGCTTAGGTGCCTCGTATGAGAAGCGCAGAGGAGGGCAGTCTTTTCAATTTAATTTCCAAAAATAATTACTTAATTATTTATTTGATTTAAATAAATAATAATTATTATTTATTTGATTTTCTTGGTTTTTGATGCTGACGTGGCTTCGCTTAGGTGCCTCGTATGAGAAGCGCAGAGGAGGGCAGTCTTTTCAATTTAATTTCCAAAAATAATTACTTAATTATTTATTTGATTTAAATAAATAATAATTATTATTTATTTGATTTTCTTGGTTTTTGATGCTGACGTGGCTTCGCTTAGGTGCCTCGTATGAGAAGCGCAGAGGAGGGCAGTCTTTTCAATTTAATTTCCAAAAATAATTACTTAATTATTTATTTGATTTAAATAAATAATAATTATTATTTATTTGATTTTCTTGGTTTTTGATGCTGACGTGGCTTCGCTTAGGTGCCTCGTATGAGAAGCGCAGAGGAGGGCAATCTTTTATTTGATTATTTGATTTGATTATTTGATTTGATCGTATGAGAAGCGCAGAGGAGGGCAGTCTTTTTAATTTAATTTCCAAAAATAATTACTTATTTATTTATTTGATTTAAATAATAATTAATTTTTATTTGATTTTCTTGGTTTTTGATGCTGACGTGGCTTCGCTTAGGTGCCTCGTATGAGAAGCGCAGAGGAGGGCACTCTTTTAAATTTAATTTCCAAAAACTATTATTTATTTATTTAATTTTCTTGGTTTTTGATGCTGACGTGGCTTCGCTTAGGTGCCTCGTATGAGAAGCGCAGAGGAGGGCAGTCTTTTGAATTTAATTTCCAAAAATGATTACTTATTTATTTATTTGATTTAAATAAATAATAGTTATTATTTATTTGATTTTCCCGGCTTTTGATACTGACGTGGCTTCGATTAGGTGCCTCGTGTACTTTGAAATATCCCTCCCTCCCCCCTCTCGCATATAATCACAGATTTTCCAAAACTGCCGTATTTCTTGGAATTTGCAACTAATAATGATAGGCCGATTTAACAAGAAGTTATAGCCATATATGTCATCTGTGACCAAGAACTACCCCACGATATTGTTGTTGTTGCTGTTTTGCTTTTGAGCTTTTATAAAAAACTGACAAATACTGAACTTCGTTGAGATATCGATCGATACTATGGCATCTAATCGGGTAATATTCTTGTTCTGCATACGGATAGTATTTGTAAACCAAGTGTGATATCCCTAGCCCAGATCTATCGTCTCGGCGAAAATACATGTTGCATACATCCATACTTTCTTGTATACTCTTGTTTGTAAATGATTTCGGTTCAGTACACCTTAATTATTTATGATTTTCCGCATTAAGTGTTTAATAAGCCTCTACTTTAGTTTTCAGAAGCAAGAAATAGACCTGGACACTCTGATGCTCCTAACGGAGGCTGATCTGAAAACGCTCGCCCTTCCTCTGGGGCCCTTTCGAAAGCTAACGTATGCTATACAGGAACGTCGTAATGCCCTTGCCAATCCCGGACCCATGCTGGACAGTCGTTTATAATTGAAGCAACACATCTGCAGCTACATGGCATTTAATGTTTAAGAATTTTCGCTATGTACAATACAAAAGACAAATATACATTCATTGGACAATGAAACTAATCAGCCACCTGTTGTAGTTGATAGAGCTCGGCATAGATGCCATTCATGCTTATGAGTTCGTCATGCGTACCCTGTTCCACTACAATGCCCTTTCTGAGCACACATATCAGATCTGCATCCCGCACAGTGGTGAGCCGATGAGCAATGGTGAGACAGGTGCGACCTGATCGAGCAACATCCAATGCCTCTTGCACAACCTTCTCGCTCTCTAGGTCCAACGCCGATGTTGCTTCGTCCAGAATCAGGATCTTGGGATTACGCACTAGGGCACGAGCGATGGCGACACGTTGCTTTTGACCGCCCGATAGCTGAGCACCCTTGCTACCCAGACTGGTGTCATAGCCCTGCGGCAAGGTTATAATAAAGTTATGTATGTTGGCTTTCCTTGCAGCCTCCATGATTTCGGACATGGGTATATCATCGCGGAAGTTATTGCCGTACGCAATATTCTCAGCAATGGTCCGGTCGAAGAGCACGGGCTCTTGCGATACAAGGCCCATTTTGGAGCGCAAGGTGTCGAACGAAAAGTCTGTGGTTGGCACACCGCTGAGATTAACGCTGCCGCCAGTCGGATCGTAAAACCGGAGCAGCAACTGTACACAGGTAGACTTGCCGGAGCCAGAGGGGCCCACCAGCGCCACCGTAGTGCCCTTTTTAATGGTTAGATTGAGATTTCGCAATATGGTCGTGCCTTTCCGGGTGGGATACTCAAATTCGACGTGCTCGTATGTTATGTCTCCTTCGGACTTCTGTTGAAAGTAACAAATTAGTATGTATACGTATCTATTATTGAATCCGTGTATAAAAGAGCAGTAACAAGTTTTGACCGAAAATCTAGGTGTGTGTAATCAGATATTTTATACCTGTTTCCAACTTACCTCGGCTGTGTTATAGGGCTTATCGGCAGGGTTGTGCACCGTTGATTTACGTTCAAAGAGCTTCATTAGGCGACCAGCTGACATGATGCCCTCGTTGACATTAGGCGCATAGGCCAAGGCCTGACCCAGCATCCAAGAACCAAAAATTAGCGCCTCTGATACTTTGATGATGTCCTCGTAGGGCATTTCATTCTTAGCGACAAGCGTTCCACCATAATACAAAGACAGGCCGTAGGCCAGGAAGGGAGATGCCTGTCCCAAGCCAAAAACAAGTCCTCGGTAGCGCACCTTACGGCGACAAGCTTCCTCCATCTGATCGATTCGGTCAGTATAGCGCTTAATGACATCACTCTCCTGGCCCAGACTTGCCACCGTTCGTATGTTGGCAATAGCCTCAACGGCCACTTGCGAGGCATGCTCGATGGCTTCCCTCTCGGCTCGGGCACTGGACTCGACAAAGCGCGATTCCAAGAATATGGTGAAGCACACTACGGGTATAGTGACGAGGGTAAGCAGGGTCATTTTCCAAGAGAAAATGAAGGCTATAATCATGCCAACGATTACCGTAGCCGCTGCCTGTACCATAATCCCAATGCGCGCTCCAGTGGCCTGTGGGAGGAGTGGACCAGCCATGAAACACTTTCCTTTTGACATGAGATTACAAGCTTCCACTCACCCCCTGAACGCTGGAGCAATCGGTGGCCAAACGGGCACATAGTGCGCCCACCGAGTTCTTTGGATCATCGAAATACGCCACTTCCTGTGAGATTATCGTCTTAAAGGCCGTCTTTCTCAGCCGGGATGTCATCTTTACGCCAGCTGTGTTAAACATATATGTCTGAGCCAACACTCCCAATCCAGCCAAGAGTCCAATGCCAACAAACACCAGCGCCAACTTGTTTGCACTAGACCGAACATAATCAGCATCTTCGTCGGACATAATGCCGAAGAAATTGCCGAAGAATACGGCCCATATTGGAAAGGTCGCGCCCAGAGCAACGGCAGCAATGCAACCACAGAGTAAATAAGGCCATTCCGGAGCATTTAGTCTCAGCAGCTGACGAAAGGTGATATTATACTTCTCCTTCTTCTGCTTATAGCGGTCTACAATATAATAAATAGTATACTTAGTATAATCAGAATGCACGAGGCCCTAAAGCTTAGATTTTCATTTAGAAATGAAAACCCTAAGCGGCTCAGGTGTTGCGCCTTTTAGAGAATTTCAACAGACACTACAATTTTGCAAAACAGTGTTTCCTTGTTCGTTGTGTTTAGTTTATACTTACGTCTTGATCCCTCGGCCGTATCTATTTTTTGATGGTACACATCTGCATCGTCGTCCTCCGAGGAAGATTCATAAGGCTTGGGTGTTCTGCTATCGAGACTAGGACGTATTGTCTCAGGGTCTTCAACGTCCTCAGTAGCCTCTTTACGCTTCGTAATATTTACTAGCTGGTTGTAAAATCCACCCTTGGCCATTAGTTCCTCATGTGTGCCCTGTTCCACCACCACACCGTCCTTGACAAACACAATTTTGTCCGCGTTAGTCACCGTTGAAAGGCGATGCGATACCACAAGGGTTGTTCGTCCCTGACTCGCCACCTCGAGTGCGTCTTGCACGCGCTTCTCGGACGTTGGGTCGAGTGCGGAGGTTGCCTCGTCGAGCAACAAAATTCGTGGATTGCGCACCAATGCCCGAGCTATGGCAATTCTCTGTTTCTGGCCGCCCGACATTTGTGCCCCTCGTTCGCCCACCAATGTGTCGTAGCCCTTTGATAACAAAAAAAAAAAAAACGTAAGCAACAGAAACTGGAGACTATGTGCTTCGATTGAAAACCCACCTTTGGCAGCCTGACAATAAAATCATGACAATTCGCAGTTTTCGCAGCTCTTTCGATGTCTTCTTGAGTTGCCTGCGTATAGCCGTAGCGTATATTTTCCCGGATTGTGGTCGCAAACAGCACCGGCTCCTGGCCCACAACCCCAATCTGGGCTCGCAGCCAGTTAACGTTGAGTGTGCGCAAATCCTGGCCATCCAGCTGTACGCTACCGTCTAAAGGATCGTAAAAGCGTTGCATAAGCTGCAGCAATGTACTCTTGCCACATCCGGAAGCGCCCACAAATGCCACCGTCTTGCCTGCCTCTATATCCAGTGATAGCCCTCGAAGTATTTCAATGTCTGGTCGTGCAGGATATCGGAAGGTGATATCTTTAAACTGAATATTCCCAGTTATATCCTCCGGCTTCTTGCCATGCTCGTCCAATGGATCGATTTTTGACTGACGATCGATGACGGCGAAGACGCTTTGAGCTGCACCTCGAGCCCCTGCAAACGCCTCTACATGGGGCGATGAGAATCCCACATTCTGGGCACCCATAATGATACCAAAGAGCACAATGACCAGCACAGCGGGTGTATAGGTGCGCACCTCCTCGCCCCGATCGTCAAGAATCAATGTGATGCCATACCACATGGCTAGGCCATTGCAGGCGAAGATAATGAACCACATGACGGCTGATCCGATGCCAGAGTAAAGGCCCTTCTTTCGGCCTGTTTCTTCAGCCGGCCCCAAAAGCTTAGAGAACCGCTCTGTCTCCTTTCGTTCGCCACTGAAGGCGAAAACTGTACGTATCCCGGAGAAGACTTCCTCAGCCACTGAACCAGCACCTGAATAGGACTTGAGCTCCTTTTCGGTCAGAGAACTTTGTATCTTGGCCACCATCGCCGTCGAAACAATGATGAACGGACAGCAGGTGAGCACCACAAGCGTGAGCTTCCAGCCGTAGAAGAATGACGCCACAATGGCTAACACGAATGTCATAATCAAAAATGTGAATATGGTGACCTTCTCGCCAATGCCCTCCTTCATTTTATCCAGATCCCTGAGAAAAAGTTGCATCAATAAATAAATTGTACTTGTAGAAAGTTCTTGGGCTGAACACGTACTCTGCAACTTTGCTCGCGAAATTCGTGGACGAATTGGTGTCATACCAAGACATTTCCTGACGTAAAACGGCCCTCAGAAAGACTTTCCGTATGCGTCCAATTTGCTTGAGGGCTATGCGATTTACTATATCCACAGCCATAGCTATGAAGACCAGTAGTAATATCGCACCTGCCAGACTTCCTAGCCCATAGGCAATTGAATCATCGACTATGGCCGCATTATTCTCCTCCTTCGTGGCATTGGTTCTACAAGTATAGAGTGTATGTAAATATTTCAAAATTTATTCAATATCTGAGCTGATTTATTCCACTCACAGCACTTTCCCCCCTCCAAACAGGGCAAGTATGAATGTGGGCGACGAAGTTCCCACGCCCCCCGTGCGATCTATAAGCAGGGAAGAGAACTCTCCGTATATCACAACAGAGTAGGGTATAAACACAGCCGCAATTGTGGCCAGTATTACGGCCAATATGATTAGCAGTCGTTCTCCGCCAGTTGAGTAGCGATACTGTTTAAGAAAAGAGCATTCGATTGAGTTGTGAATTATTTCAGATCCGAATATTTAGTTTAATGTAAATTAAATTATTAAATTGTAAAGCAACTAACTAACTCTAATGTGATTTACTAACCAATTGAAAATAGCTGATCCTTTTGGCGTGCTCTTCTTGATTACTGTCTACTGCCGCCTGCACCTGAAAGTCATCTAAGCCGGGCAGCGTGTGGGATTTCCTCTTCCGTACCGAATGCGGTGATAATCTGAGCTGATTTTTAACCATTTTGATTTCGATATTTTGTACTTTCGTCTAGAGATCTTTCTGCGTAGCTGTAAAAAGTACATGAAAATATAACCTACTTATTAATTTGATGTTAGTCGCGGAAGGAAGGGTATTGTTTTGATATATGATATTTATAGATGAAAGAATTGCTGTTAAAATGAATATAATAATTCCAGCATTCACATTGCGCTTTTTCCCAAGCCGCTCTCAAAAGGCGATTTCAAACTGCAATTTCGATGAATTGAAACAAAGTCGCACACTTTGTCGGGCATCCATATATAAATAAATTAAGAGCAATTCGAAAGTAGAATGTTTCTTAATTATTCGCGCGATAAGAGTTGACATTTAATCTTTTGCCGCTTTAGATCTGAGTGCATGCTTTTGGACAGATACTTGGCACGGGAGCAATAAACCATTTAAGCACTGGTAAACAAACCGTATATAAGTATAGAATTCTAGTGTAGCACGTTTCTATGGTTTCCGATCACGCGAAACGTTTCGCATTAGCTGCGCTCCTAATGCGATTTCACAGTTTGGCCAACAATTCCGCAGACCTGTACGTCCACATCTCGCAACTGCGCGATTTCAACTGACTGAATTGTGGACATTGGGCCTCTAACGATAGCTCGGTAGATGCCGACACTCGACTAGCGACAATCGGGAAAATTCCTAGCTAAGAACACTCGCCGCTCAATTGAGGCAATAAAAATGTTTGTATAATATTAATCGGCAATGTTAATTACCGCACTCACTAAATGCTTCTCGCGTCTAGAGAGTCCGCCAGCGAGTTTGGCGAAAACAAATCCAAGAAGTTGCACAGTCACAGCCGCCTGGACACCCACCCACTGATAAACACATGTATATAAGTATATAGTATAGCACGATGATATGGCGAGGACAATCGTCTGAACAGATTAGATAGCCATTCTCGAAATGCACAGATAAAGTTTGTTTATAAAATCTTAGAAACGTGGCATTGCCTTTGAACAATAAGCTGTCAGACTGTCTCAGTATATACCCGTGAGTACGCCGGATTTTCCAAGATCCAGTTAGTCGTTAGTAATGTCATTAGTTATGCGTTTCAACATTCGACTGACTGACTGAATTAAACTTGGCATTTCCCCGTGCATAAGTGAGGCTTGTGGGGGATCTTAACACTCGGAGGCGGCGTATTACAAATGCATTCGAAGCATACGAATATTACATCTTGTTTCTTGTAAATTACGTGATTCCACATACTATGTACTCGTATTGGCAGTTATGATGAAATTGAAATTGAAATACAGACTGTGCTTCGGTTTTACAATTCGCTTATCAAAGTTTTTGTTATTATTTGTCCATAAAATTTCAAAAATAGGTGAGACTGCAGAGCTATATACTTATTTGTATTGTATGTTGTTAATCGTGTTGTTCTACTCAACGAGTTTCGGTTATCAGTTCATTTAACTTAACTAATTGCCGAAGAAATTAGTTTATATTCTGATCCAATTGACAACAAACCTCTAGTTACTAAAACAATTAAAAAGAAGGTTGAGAATTTTAGGTTTGATTATCGTAACTCTACGAATGAGTCTACTAGGTAGACAAAAAAACTATTTCAACTGGAAGCAGCATGTTTTCGACCAACAATCAATATTTTTTGCTATCCATTTTCCAGATCTACTGAATTTTTTAAAAGAATTTGTAGCCAATCATTTTTGTTAAGTAAAGTTACTTTAACACCTTAACAATACGGGTTGGCAAATACAAAATAACCCAACCTCGAGCACTTAGTAAAGTTATTATTTTTATATATTCAGAAAAATGATGGCATACCCCCGAACTATCGAGGCTTTGTGTTATATTAAAATTTCAAAAAATGTTTAATTATAATAACAACTATATTACTTTTTCCATTAACAGCTACAATTTTGTATATCCTGTACCCGAAGGTTAAAAATGTATTGTTTGTAACAAGGAGAAGGACCATCTTTAAAGTATATATATATTCATTTATTGACAATAGTAGTATAAATTTATCTATATGTCCGTCTGTCCCTCTGTCTGTTTGTCTGGATGAATATCTGAACTTTGGTAAGCAAAATAAGTTTTATTTTTTCCCCATTTTCCCTGTTACAGAAGTTTATCTCTAAAATTCCAAATCGACATACTATATATTCGGATATATATTTACTGAGTCAGCAGACATAGACTGTCAGATGAAAATACTTTATAGCATGTAATACGATCTAAGAATGCTAGGCAGGCGAACATTCTATATTCGATTCTATATTTTTTTACTTACCCAGGCTCTACGAAAATAAAGCAAGACCATATAGTTTCATAAAACTTTAAAGCCATCAGTTTTTGAAAATAATCTGGAGCTTATGTTTATAATTCTAGCCTTCGCCTGCATAAAATAATGCATTCAGTTGTCACAAAAAATTTGTTTTGGGTATCCAAGAATTAAAAATCGGAAGGTGTTATAGAAATAATAAATTAAAACTAAAAGCACACTACGTTCGAAATATTCTTTCATTTCCACTGCCAATTATGAAAAGCCTTGGATTGTTGTTATTGTTGGGAAAGCAAAAAGCAGCAAAAACAAAACTTCAAAACATTTTATTAATACCTGATTATACGAGTATGTGTGAGTGCATACATACATATGTACTATATAGTAAGTAGTACTCGTTGTAAAGTTACGTTCCCCAATAGTAAAAAGAATATAGACCTTATCGTTTGATGGCGCATTCTAATCGCGTTGCCCAATAAAAAACGCTCTTGTATTTGCTTTAATATGATAACCGAAACACGTTTTATTGACCCTTAAATAGAATTTGCTTACATTACGGGTTTATTGTAGTAACATTCTACGACACACCCATGGATGCAATATTCACGGATAAAAAGATCACCTACAGACTCCAATGCCTTTATTTGTGCGAAAGCCAGTAAAGTGGCATACCCTTTCATTTCGTCATTTCGTTAGAGCGTATTTCGGGGAAACTTCTTTAATGTAGCGATGTGAAAATTACTGACAAACATATATAACTAGCGTCCTGCCACTGCTTTGCACGGCTATTTTTACAAAAATTTTAAAAATTATACCTTTTATAACACACACACACACACCAGGGCGTAGGAGCTTCAGGAGCTCCGAACCGTGATAAGTCAACATACAGTAAAACATTGCTTTCGAATGTCGATCCCTACCGCCTTGAGACTACCGGAAATTGAAGCCATATAAATGATCCAATGGGATCTGCGGTATCCTCATTATATGAGCTAGTAATAGTTGCCTCATTTTAATTGTCCTGCAATTCCTTAATAAGAAACCTCGCCCCATTGCACATGCTTGGAAGGCTTTAATTTCTCAAAATCATAATTGTAATTCCGAATTTTACCGTCAATTCATGTGGCGGCAGTCCAGAAGGGCTTAGTGAATTTAAATGTCTTCAATATTAATCGCGGTGTCGATCGATTTGTAGTTTTTTATTTGGCTGGGGGCTTTTGAATAATATTGCTTTAATATTTAAAGTGACAATGTTGCGAGGATGATTATGAACTAACAGCTTTCTATTCAGGAGTTTTTTAAGGTAATTTTTGTACACCTTTGGTTACATTATTGGCGTTTTAGTAAGGATTCCATTCTTTTTTGCACATATAATAGCTTACCAACATTGAAAGAATCCATTAAAGCGGTCCAGTAGATTCGGAGCCTTTGCAATTCAAACAAACAATCAAATCTTCCCTCTTTATAAGATTAAGTATAAATTAAATTATTTGAGCCTAGGACGAACATAGGAGTACTACAAGTATGCACAGAAAAATGGAACGGAATTTTTTACCTCAACTTCAATAGTGACAGCGCAGGGAAATTCTTATACCAATAATTTAAAAATCCCGTTTTGTTGTTTGATATTAAATCGCGCCACAATAATCCTATTTGAACACTTAATAAAAGATTAAAATTAAATTAAATTTGAAAATTAAAAATATTATATATGGTTGCACGACTTTATTCCATTTAGCACGATTCAAAATAACATATGACCAATGTATTTTTTACACGATATATTAAGTAGATATATTAAGTATTTAGATAGATATATTAAGTAGATATATAAAGTATTTTTTTCATGAAATTAACTTATTACCATGGCTATATTTTTTTTGGTCTTGAGTAGATCTTGATTGGATTAAGATACACTCATTCAACAATTTCATACTTAAAATTTCAAGTACGATCTCACCTTATACTAAGTACATATACATTTTTCTATCAGTGTAGAGACTGAACGCCATTAATAAGTAGCGAACATTTCCAACTCAATTCAGAGTTGGTTTCTAAGTTGTATTTGTTTAACAAGAAGAAGACCGCCGTATCGAAAATTGTGAACCATCACATCACGTCTATGGCACCACCTTTGACTGAAAACTAAATTTAAAGGTGAAATAGCAAATCCAGCAATAGCAAAAAGTCCAGCTCTGTTCCGAAGCTCATAGAAAGTCTCTATCGGGCCACAATGTAACGGTATTTGCGTATTTCCAATATATTGGAATCCAATATAAGTACTATATGAGTCATTCTTTATACATAGTTCAAATAAAATTGAATTTATTATACATCATTAAGCTGTTTTTTATTTATTTATTTATTGTGTATATAAATAATAAGTATATATATGAATGTTTAGGTTAATCGTCTTTGGTTTACAGGGAAACATTTCGTATGCCTTAATGTCCTTAATAAGTCAGATATATGGCTTGTTGCTGGTAGAAATTCTTGCGTACCAGAACCTCATAGTTGATAATACGGTGTTCTGTGCCGCCGAACGGAATGTACAAACACTTATGGGAGGGATGCACTTTTCCGGGCGTCAGGGTGCCGCAATATAGAGCACGGCCTATGTACAGGATCTCGCCGTTTGCATTGCGACCCGCTTCAACCGCACCCAGAGGAATGCTGCCGTCGTAGCCGGACACCCAGCGGTATTTGCTCTGACCAATGAGCACTTCATAGTGTGTTTGGACAATTTCCCGGCCAGCATGGGAAATGTAGGCGCAGCCCCGACTGGGCACCGCTTTTCCTGGCACATGGAATCCATCGTAGTAGGCGCGACAAACTAGTAGCTGTGACATATCCGCGTCATGGCCGGCGACTACCGCGTCTGCGGGAGTGTAACCGGGGGAGGCGGTAACCCACATGTCATAGCCGTCTGCGGGAGGCGCCACCGAAACAGCATACTGTGTTGTAGTTGGAACGCATTCAGCCGGTACGTAGGAAGAACAGCCTGGGCCATATGGATCCAGTGGTGGCTTGTAGCTATCAGCCGGCGTAAACGTTGAAGAAGCGGGAATATAGGACGATGCAGGTACATAGCCGCCAGTTTCTGCAGGTGTGTAGACTTGTCTGAGGGGCGGTGGAGGTAGAGGATCGGTTGACATTAGAGGTGAGGCAGCAGCAACAACGATCGGCTGAGGTATAACAGGTTCTGGAGGATATGTTGGGGCAGCTGTGGGTGTATACATGGGCGGTGGCTCCTGATTGGGAAACGGCATTGCCACATTTATGGGATAGGGAAACCGATATGGTTTCTCCGATACTGGTGCGGGAGGTGACGGTGGCGGTGGTGGTGTGAGCGGACACTTCTCCGCCTCCTCTGGTGGCGGTAACTGCCAGCCAGGCACCACTCGTCGTTCCTCCACTAAAATTTCATAAGAGTCCAAGCGACGTTCCGCTCCACGATAGGCTATAAAAAGGGCACGATGTACCGATGATATTTTGCCAACGATCAAGTGTCCCTCGTAATGCCCCCGCCCTATGTAGACGGGCTGGTCGAGCGTAGTGCGACCGCAGAGCACGGCCGTTTCGGGAATAACGTGGTCGTAGCACTTCACCCAAGCCAAATTCTGGCCGCACAGAACTTCGAAAATATCCTTCGGCAGCGCCTCGCCACGCGTCGATATGAAGCCGATCTGCTTCGATGGAACCACTTTGCAGACATGCATGTCGCCGTCCTGCTCGGCTCGTCCCACATAAATCATGGCCCCATCCTCATCATTGCCACCGACTACGGCATTTGGCGGTATGGAGGAATAGGCAGACGACTGCACCCATTTGTAGGCTACGGGAGAGGCAGGAAGAGTTTTTTCATTAATTAATTAATGCCGTAGCGCCCATACATGAACGGGGACTTACACTAGACAAATGGGTACCCATACACACAGCGACCCATTAGCTTACTCTTATTTAAATAAAAGGCCCGCCAGCAGACACTATTTACGAGTATTCTGCAATAAGAGAGGCGGACAACGGGCGTTAAGAGAGTTGAGAATTATTTTTGAAGACCGTCAGCATAGAGTTTTGTAATCATTTGCTTGTGACTCGACTCAGGTGTTAAGGGATTATGAGTTAGAACTACTATATACTGGATTACATTTAAATAGCACTCTATAGTGGCAAAAAAAAATTAGTTGAGGAAACGAGTTAATAATTAGTTGTTGAAGACCCAAGCTTAGTAAGCATGACGAAAAAGTATCAATATCGGAGGTGCATTGCTTGTGACTTGACTCAGGTGTTAAGGGATTATAAGTTCGAATTTTGAATTACGGAAATATATATATATATATATACATTTAAAGCCACTCTATATTGGCATTAAAATGAGAAGAAAGTGTGTGCCAGCTATATGGGTTACATATGTATATAAGTATTGCTGTGACTTCAATTTCTTACCCATAATTCTCTTTAGCTGATAAGTAGGTACTTTTTACCCGTCTAGGCCCGGTTGCAAATATACACAATACTTGTTTTACTGCCAACTGCTCTGTTCTGGCTTTGTTTTTCTACTGAAAGGTGTACCCTCTGACAGCGTTGGCGAAAAACCAAAACAATTCGTCATCGGGAGCTAAATACTTATCAAAAAGCTCTGCTGCTATATCGTATGAGAAAACGAAATTGATAATAATGGGGCCTCTAAGTCGTTATCAATACCAATGCCAAGTGAGTCATAAATGTTTGCGCCAGAAACCTTTTTGAGAGTAGGGAACTTTTTGGACACCTGTTCCTTTACTATAGTTTGGAGATAGAGTCCATAACAAAGGCCACAAAATAGGTGACGCTATAGTGGCTCCCACATTTCATTTCAATAGCAATGCCTATGGCGGATTAATTAATCCAATATCTTATCTCAAATATGTAGTTTCTACCTTAGCAATATTGAGAGAAAACATTTTGTACAATGGAAACAGCTCGACCCTTCCTTAATAAATCGTGCTGGCTTCTGAAGGACTTTGTACATATTCAGATTGTTAAAAGAGGCCTCTTCAAGCCATTCAATGACAATAGTTACAGATTATATACCTGTACTATATAGTACACTAAATATCTTTCCGATAATGCGGCTTATCTATAGGCAGACTTTTGCTTTTAATGTCGACGTTGTGCTCTCGACTATGTCTAATTATTGTACACTAATTTATTGGTGCACTGGTGTCATTATTCATTACATTTATTATTAAGTTGCTTCAATGAAACATAATTTTAGAGTGATTAGTTTTTGATTAACAACAACTTTTGACTCATACAATTTTTCTATTTTTGACGCAAGCAATCTTTTGATTCATGAAATGATTATATTGCGAGTGGAGTTTAATTTCTGACGAACGAAAACTTTTGACTCAAGAAGAGGTGAGTTTCAAAGTTAATATGGCCTTAGGCATGTGTTGGTTGGAAAGGTAAATCCCTTCCCGACTTCCTCTACAAAATGCATGGCTTAATTCATCAAACATCAGCCAAAACCTTCATTAAACATAAGACAGCAAATATCAATTCAGTATTTCCCAAAATTTAGTCCCTTTCGACGGATTTTTGAATTAAAACCTTGCATTTTAATCATCAACCACTTTCCGCATTCCGGAAAAATGCATTTGCCGATGGAACTAAAGCGTTATGTGAATGTAGAAGCCAATCGAAAGGGTTATACCGACATCGGAGGGCAATCCGACCAGCGAGCTAAAGCACTTCTTCGAATTTATTGAAAAATAAATTGATTTTTCAAAACTGTTGTTTGTTTTTAAAAAGTCCTGTTTTGAATCACTTTGGAGCACATCTTGTATTTCTTTGTTTTGTACACTAATCTATCGATTCATTGCGGGAAAACAAAAGAACTGAGGCAGTAATTAATTTATTTTAGGCTCCTGTGTTGATTCGGCGTGGCTGTTTTGCTATAAAAGCAGATGCAAGGCTCGGGATCACAGTTTAGTCCGCATCAGAACTGTACTGCAGTTACAAGTTTAGTTTAAAATCGAAAATGTTCCAGGGTAAGCTGGAATATCTATTTATCAGAGTGTGTTCAGTGGTTTCTTAATTGCCTTTTGAAAATGTTTTAAAGAGGAACAGTGCGCAATTTTATTGATAGTTTCTCTCTTTTTTTGTGATGTAACTCGTCCGGTAAAATAAAACGAATCTAGGTGTTTGCAAAAAAAGTGCGGTGTTTATATGTATCTGAAGAATTGTCAGGTGTATTTTCGAATAAGTTTGGAGAATTTTTTTGGATGGAACAAGCGCGAAAAATTGATTTGGCGACAAGCAATTTGATTGCTAATTTATTTTTATAGAAATTTCATTATTCGATTTGATAAAAATATATTTTAACATACATATGTATGTGTACAGATGTATATGTAGAGAGAGAGAGAGAGAGAGAGAAACAGAGAGATTGTTTTTTTTTTGTTGGGAGGCCACGGCCGTTCCCCCCGTAGGCAGGGGACCCTTGGTTGTTACTGTGAGTTGTTTCTGTGCTCCCCAAGTTTAATAAATCTATCCGATTTTAAATTACCTCGAAGGACATTCTATTGTGCGTAGAGCGGGCAATTGTGCATTTAAATTTGTTAAATATTTGTTAAAGCTTTGGGTTTTTAATAATATGGCGAATTTTTATGCTTGGGGGTTTCACAGCTATGCACAATTTTGTGGTGCACCCCCCTCCTCCTCCTCCCATAAATTCAATCTCTGCCCAAGCGCTGCCGCAGCTGTTCTTGTTGCTGCTTTGGTTCAACTCTATACTGCATACGTGGTCACATGCATAGATTCACTTAGAAACAATACCTATGTTTAACTCCTGGGAACACTCATCAGTCGCATAACTGTCTGTACATTCCCTTGGGGGGTCAGGAGGTGCCTTTGGACCACTACAAGCACCTCGTAGTAGACCTAGACCTCGTAGTAGGCCTAAATAGTAGACAAGCTTTTGGATTTTGTATTCTTGCACCTGTTGTAACCTAACTTATGCATTCCATTTGTAATTAAAATTTATTCTGTTCTACTTTTTGCATTTTCACAATTGTTGACGGGGCAAAGCTTTTGCAAAAGCTTGCATGTGCTTTGCTCAGAGTGTAGAGTATGCAAGAGAATGTGGACCAAGTCTACAAAAAGTCGGCAGCGCCCCGTGCTCAGCTTGAGAATAGGATTTTAATTGCATTTTTGTTATATACTGGAACACATATGACAACACTCTGAACTGGCATTAAAATTGGAGGAGAACATGAGTCAAAGATTTCCGGAAAGATGGGGTCATATGGACCTGGAAGATACTTTTTAAGCGTCTGCAATTATACACTACGAGCTGCTCTGTTCTGGCTTTGTTTTCCTACTGATTGGTGTTCACTCTGACAGCGTTGGCGTCAAACCAAAACAATTTGTCACCACCGGCAGCTAAACGCTTATCGAAAAGCTCTGCTGCTTTATCGCATGAGAAGACAAAATTGATAATAATGGGGCCTCTGGGTCGTTATCAATACCAATGCCGCTACTCCCTGGCCCTCTCTTCGATGGTCGTCTGTTTTTCTTATCTGACATGTTGGTGTCTGTGAGTCATTCATGTTTGCGCCGGGAACTTTTTGACACATATGGCCAAAGTAGGAAACTTTTTGACACCTGTTCATTTACTATAGTTTGGAGTTAGAGTCCGTAACAAAGACCACAATATAGGTGACGCTATAGCAGTGGCACTTGGCCCTCCCATAACTTGAAACCCCGCATTCGATTTCAATAGCAATGCCTATGACGGATTTTTGAATCCAATATCTAATCTCAAATATGTACATTGTTTCTACCTTTCGTACTTGTATAATGCCAATCGCTCGATTTTGGTCTGACTAATCCGTTGTCCAAAGAAAGTTCTGTAAATACTCAGGTTGTTGTCACTTCTCAGCTATAAGGGGACTCTTCAGTACTTCCTGTCGTTTGTCCATTGCATGACGATAGGGACAGATTAGCTATAGTAGTATATGAAATGTCTGTGCTTCCGATAATGCGACTAATCTAAAGGCACACTTTTGCTTTTAATGTCGAACTTGGGTTCTCGATTATGTCATAATATTGTACACTAATTTATTGATGCACTGGTGCATTATTATAGTTAATACTATTTATTATTTTGTTGCTTTAATTAGACATTATTTTCGAGTGGTTCGTTTTTGACGAACGCTGAAAACTTTCGACTCATAAAATATAGTAGTTCTATGGGAACCAAATAGTCGATTCAGCTCTCAGAACGTTGTGCTGTACACTAATCTGTTGATTCATTGCAGAAATGAGGGAAACCAAAACAGCTGGGTCTTTAATTGTGTTTTCTTCTGGCTTGTGTATGTGGCTCGGCTAGTGACCTCGAGATATGAGAAATGGCAATGGAAAAATATGGATATCGCAACATGTACTAGTATATCTACATATATGTATGTATAGATTGTTGTGAATTGCATTTATTTTAAACTCCTTTGTTGACTGACTGTTCTCGATAAAAGCGAGTGCCAGACTCGGGCGCTCAGTTTAGTCCGCACCAAGCCTTCACTGCCGTTACAAGTTTAGCTGAAAATCGAAAATGTTTCAGGGTAAGCTGGAATGTCTATTTATCAGCTGGTTAAGTCAGAACTATTGACTGTCATTTAAAGTGCTTTTTGGAAAGTTGTGACTAGTCTGTGCTAAAAGAAATGCTTGCAGTGTTTATATCTGAGGAACTGTCGTTCCTCAAGCGCATTTTAATTTATAGTTTATATGATAAAAAATGTGATTATAAATTAATCGTTATAATCGTTAGATTGATTGGAAAATATCCAGTTTTTTATAAATATGTACACAACAATAGAATACATCCAACTTATAGTTCTTTAATTCTTTTTTAAATGAAAAACTACTTATTAAGCCCATTTAGCCCGATTAGTATTTCACTATATCCCGTGCAGATCTGTTTAGATGAAGATATAGTACATTATTAGTGAAATGAGTCTTCTTTCTGTCTGCTCAAAAGTGGCAAGGAGTATCATTTGCTGATTCGATTTTTTTAGGAGGTACAAATTAAATAATTAAACCGAACAGACTTTAGCTGTTTCATTTATGTTATGGCTGTGCCAAAATACACTTAAGTGTAACCCATACACAAAATGATTAGCGAGCAGGCAATCGATTAGAGTTGGCCATAAGCTCACTTCTATATTACTCACAAAACTTAAACGATAAGAAATTCATTAGTATTATATGAAATCATACAAAGTTAAAGCGCAACATGAGAGATTACAGTTCAGTTAGCTCGACCGTAAAATACTCTGCACCCACAAGAAAAGGAAAACATCATTAAGCAGCTTCGTATTGATAGAACAATTGTTTCGTACAAAGAAAGTGCTGGAGCATTTTTAAATTGGTTTCATAATTTCGGGACTAGACTTTACAAGACTACACTGGCTTGAGGGCTTTGGACATTTAGATTGTTGAATGAGCTAGACTTGGGTGTACTTCTGAGTTTAAAAGGTGATAACAAAATATCACAGATTACATATGTACGTAAGTTTAGATATAAACATAGGCTGTGATTTGAAGTGTTTCCCAATCCAGGCATTCGCTCTCCGAAGACTTCCAAATCAGTTCCAAGTCTCGATCAAAAATATTTGTTTACCCATTACATACTAGAAAACTGCTAATATATTGTAGACTTTTACCCCTCGTGTAGGGTGTATAAAAAAAAGTTGTTTTTTACCGCCATTTAAAAATACACGCTCCTAGCAATTCACACCCTCTAATGCCTATGTACATACAAGTATGTATGTATCTGTGTGTTTATGAATGTACTTAGTACTAAGAAATTGTTTGTTTGAGTGGGCCCTGATGACAAAATTTGTTCTGCCGGCCGGTGACTTTTAGAGCCAAATATCATTTAACTGGAAAGCCTTAAGCAACAGCACGATATATTGTATAGTATGTATGTATGTAAGTGGTATCTTATCGGGCCTCTGTCAACGACCAGTCAGTACTCTAGTGATAACAGCTTTAAATACGCACCTGCCGCGCCGGCCACAATTCAGTTCTGTTCTAAAAGCTTGCGAGCGCGTTCCAGTAACGTGTCTGTCAGAAATACATATAACCTTTTGATTTTTCCTTCATTTTCAAAATTAAATACAGCAAACACATAAATGGGTGAGTCCAGTGAAGTGGTGCAGTGGTGCAAATTGTCATAAAATCTGAGATATTGTGAAAATATCGACTGCATTTTTGGCCCAAACACTAGGCCCTTCTTTCAAAAAGATTTGTCCCCAGTTCGTTTGGAATACTCTCGACTAATTATAAAATGTCCTGTCGCTCGGCCATATAAATATCAAACATTTGGGCAGTGTTTTAAATTATTGATTGTGTCTCTTGTGATATCGCTAGTTAAAGCAACTAAGCTAGAAAATGTAGAGCTTTTATGGCTCGCAGATAAGGTTTCAAGTTCGTGTGATTAATGGGCATTGGGTTCGTTGTTGGCAACAACAGGCGGGGCACCTGGGTGTGCAGCCACTATCAGAGATCCCGAACACCCGATAGATACAAAAATGTAACCTTGATATTTATTGCTTTCTTTCGAAACCGTTTCAGATCACACTTGGGTACCGTGCAATGTCTACGGGGGCTTGCCACCCTTTGCAATTGTGGCTGGTAACGACTCCGATGGCGACACTATTTACGTGGGTCGTGCCTATCACAATGGCGATATGCTGCCCGCCAAGATCATTCCCAGCAAGCAGCAAGCCTATGTGGCCTGGGGTGGCGAGGAGATCAACAAACACGACTTTGAAGTGCTAACTGGTCATCATTACTGCTGGATTCCAGAGAGCGGCGGACGTGTGCCCCCACATGCCCTGCGCGTTGGTCAGACCACGGATGGAGAGCCTTTGTTTGTGGGTCGTGGCCATTACCACGGTAGCTTGACTCCCGGCAAGGTGCATCCTTCGCACGGCTGTCTCTACATTCCGTATGGCGGTGCCGAACACAAACTGGACTCCTACGAAGTGCTTGTTCAGCCAGAAACCTGGGTCTCCTCCCATGGCAGCAATATTGTGCCCGGCACCATTTTGGCTGGCCACGATGCCGATGGCGACGCTATCTATGTGGGACGCGCCTATCACGAGGGCGATTTGCTGCCAGCCAAGGTGGGTATTATCTTAGATCGGAAGGTTATTGGAAAGCTCCTTTCCAAATCTATAACTTTCTTTTTTTATTACTTGGCCAATATCATAAATGCTTTACTTATTATAGACAAGTTGAGGTCATTAACCCCCAGTTACACACATATTAGCAATACTTGTGCAATTTTATATTTATATATTTTATATTTCAGGTGATTCCCAACAAGAGCTGCGCCTATGTCCCCTACGGCGGACACGAGCACGTGAAGCACGACTTTGAACTGCTGGCTGGTTATGGCTATGGTTGGGTGCCAGACGCCAATGGCCATGTGCCACATGGCGCCGTTGTCTGCGGTCGCACCAACGAGGGGGAGCCCCTCTATATCGGACGTGGACACTATAACGGCAGTTTTACTCCTGGAAAGATTCATCAGTCGCATAACTGCCTGTACATTCCCTTCGGCGGTCAGGAGGTGCGTTTGGACCACTACGAGGTGCTTGTAAAGGCCTAAATAGTAGACAAGCTTTTGGATTTTGTATTCTTTCACCTGTTGTTGGCATTTTCTGTATCAACCTAACTTATGCATTCCATTTGTAATTAAAATTTATTCTGTTCTACTTTTTGCATTTTCACAATTGTGGACGGGGCAAAGCTTTTGCAAAAGCTTGCATGTGCTTTGCTCAGAGTGTAGAGTATGCAAGAGAATGCAGACCAAGTCTACAAAAGGGTGTGTAGACTATGGTGTCTCACTCTTCCTCTCTCACTCTCACTCTCACTCTCCCTCTCTCATGTAACACAGTTTTCTCTCTCACATGCAACTGTGCTCCGCTCGCCGCTAATTGGTTGCTGCTCACTCACTCGTAAATACTGCTCAACCCCTATTGGTTGCTATCAGCTATTCAAGCTGTTATTGTCACACTTCGGGTGGAGACGGGAAACCTGTGACTGGCTGACGTTGTCTCTGCACAACAAGCGTGTATCCAATTTAAGGCGTGTCTTACAATCTTCGTTTTTGTCAAACACACGATGAGCAAGTTTTTATTATTGCATACTAAATTAAATTTAAGTTTTTCTTTTTTTTTTGTCAACAAATACTTAAATAGTATTAATTTGCTACAACCTGATTTTAAACAAAGACAATTTTGTAAAGAGAGCTTGTGTAGTGGATAAACAGGTTTTCGACTAATTTTATTGAATATGCGCAGCAATCGTTCAAAATGCCGTCGGGCTGACAGCAACCATTCCAGCTACTGTAGGCTTTAATTGGTTAAGAAGAATATTTGTTAAAAACACGTAATTCGAATGCAATATTACAACTGAACAGAAACATGCTGTTTAACTCTATCAATGACGATGATAAATGAAGATGTATGGAATTAGGACTTAGTTTTTAAACACAGCCATTAGCTTAAATCTACCTGCACATATGCATGTTTGTACTTTTATGTATATTTTAAATTATTATTCGCATGAATTTACGGAATTAATTTATTTTATACTGTTTTGCGGTCCACTATGGTACCAAGCAGGCATTATGTTTGCCATGTTAGCTATAATATTGAACAAGAGAAGCAAGTTTAGTATACACCTGCATGGGGAAGGGAATGAACATATATAAGATTGACCTTACTAAAAAGCTTGAATCTGCCACAGTTTCAAACAAATTTAAAACGAAACACATTACTGAATGTAACATTAAGCGCATACATATACTTGTATTAAATTGATTTTTTATTATATCTTAAGATGTTGCTTAAATACTGATCGATAAGCCTGCATCTCAGTTCGCTATTAAGAAAATAATTCGGATTTTCAACGTACATTCGTATGCTAACAATTAATAGTTAATTTTATATAATACAAGTAACCATAGATACGTGCGTAACTCGATCCATGGTTACAGTCCAACTGATTCTTCTGAACATTAACAATATTTGGAGAGCTGTGGGGGTCATAACTTGTAGAGCATGTTATCCAAGCATTTTTCTTGCATAAACTCTGTGTAACTCTGCACTTCGCAGCTTAATTTGCTTTTTAAAAAGTAATTGCATAAAACGGACATTCCACACACACACACTAAAGCATTCGCACATCCCAAAATTCCAGACCCAATATCCATTTAGCTAAAAGATATTAAATGAAAAAAAAAAAGAAAGAATGAACTTCGATGCTATCAAAAGCCATCCATTCAACGACAAGCTCTTGCACACGGCCAAGCAGGACCACAGTTGGGCATCCAGCGACGAACCATCCCTCAAATAATCTTTGAAATGCTCGAAATTCTTGCCCAGAGCATCGCACGGAATATCAGTTTCTTGGTCGCTTTGAGGCAGCGTGGAGCAGGCGAATGAAACGAATGACAACATTCTGCCCGTGGGCTGTATCTGTACAGTTATACATATGTATGTATGAAGAAAGGCGCTGAAAGACTCAGAGACAGCAACACACACACACACGCTTACCCAGCCAGGCAGCGACAAAGGAGGCAGCAACAGCAACAACAACAACCACGCACATTTATTTGATGAGCAATGGGGAGAAATGCCGAATAAAAATACAAATCAGAATATTTAACAAGCAGCCGTCGTTCTGATGGATACTTTTATATACTTACATACATACACTGCTGAGCTCAGTTTGCAGCTTATCTGTGCATGTATGGATGGATGTTTGTATATAGAAAATATTTGTTACCGCTGCTGTTTTTGTGTTATGTACATATATACTGCGAAGCGGCACTCATCAGCGTCTGTTTGTGTGTGTGTGTGTTTGTGTTTTGGGCAACAAATGCGATACAATTAGCTGCGACAAGCTGTAGTATCTAACAATGAGCGCTGCAGACATGCGGCAATGTGGCAAGTAGTGTGGCACGATTCGGGAAGTGGGTATTAGAGTGAGTGCGAGCGTTTTTTGAGTGCAACTGCATGTGGCATGTTGACGGGGTTGTTGCTTCTTGTGGCTGGCTTGTGCTGGCCGCTGTTGCAGACTCTGCCTCTGCAGAGTGTTGTGGTAAATTGCTTCCAGGACAGACATGCAATGTTTGTTGGGACTCAGCTGTTGATGTTGTTGATGTTGGGGTGCCAGTGTCAGTTTTCATATTACAGCTCGTCCGAGTGTGGCATCATGTCTGCGCCTGCATCTGGCTCCGCATTGCGTGCCTCTAACCCCAGACTTGAATTTTCCTGGAGGATGTTAATTTAAATGTCCATTATATTTCTACAGATTTTAAAGATTTAATTTTAAGTATATTTAAATGTATGATACCTAATTTTTGCATGCCTCTAGGATTAAGCAGACGATCCACTCAGCTCTCATATACACCACATATGTACTATATGTACGTGACCATTATAATAAAATAAATATACTGTGCTGCTTGCAACTAACGAGGAAGGTTTTAGAATGGCTGTGGCGATTGTGGTGAAATGTAAATGCAAAGAAAATAACGAATAGTATGTACGAACAAAACGCAAAATGAGAAATGTACATAAAAATGAAAATGCTGCGGCTGCGGGGTTCGTAAACCCAACTCATCTCGCTAGCTAGTTACCCTCGTCCCAAAAACGAACAGGGGCACAAATACAAGCACACATACATACATACATACATACATACATAGTATATGTGTGCTTGTATGACCATAAAATGAAGTTGAAATCTTTTTTCTACCGCTCTATGCCGCCTGCCGCAAAATACACACAAAACTGGCTGGCCTGTGAGAGGGGAAACCGTTAGCAACGGTAGCTGTACTGTTCCCCTTCCTTCCCTTTCAACAATGTTTTCGCGAGCACTGTCTTGACAGTGTTTAGGTAGTTGAAGGGAGGGGGATTGAAGGGTGGGCGTTGAAAGTGAAAGCAGCGCCCAGGGATGCAGACACAGATGCTAGCTAGCTTGCTAGCCCTTCAGCACTTTAGATTCTAATTAGTTTTTACAGTAAAAATAAAACGGAAAAACTCTAAAAATATAACAAAACGCATACATTTTCAAATGGGGTCGGGTGCTGTTTGTCAATTATCGGTAAGATGTGGCGGCATTGGAAAAAAGAAAACACATTTCATCTGGCGCTGTCTTCCCTCTCTTATGCGTGATAATTCAATTAGAAATGTGTGAATCAGCGACAACAACAACAACAACAACAACAAGAGCAGCAGCAACATTACTGAATGCAGCAACAGCAACGACGGCAACAACAACAGCAGCATGCAAGCGGAAACAGAAAAATGTCCACAGCAAATGCTCTTTTTCTAACTCAAAGAAACAAAACAGCAGAAACAGAAACCCAAGCCCAAGCCCAACAACAACAACAACAACAACACTTCCAGAAAAACCACACCAAAGCAACTGTCTACGTTGTAGAGTTGTATGCAACCCTGTTTTTTTCTGGCAGTTCGCTCACACAACAAAAACAACAGCAACAGCAACAACAACACAGCGTGGTGGAACTGAGAATCGGTTCGGAGGCATGAAGCAATTTATGTGCATGTATTTGTACATAAAAATAGCGGTCGAGACCGTTTCCGAGGCAGAAGCAGAAGCAGAGGCGAAGCATAGGCAATGTGTATGTATGTATGTATGCATGTATATTATGTATGTATGTAGATGGCTGTGCTCAGCCTGTACACTCTGCTAGCCCCGCTTGCCGCCTTTGAGTGAGCAAGTCGGAAATATTTCAGCACTCTGGCATGGGACGACAGTGAGTACGCGCAGTGGCGTAGCGCTCAGGGGGCCTCTTAGCATTCAGAGTGCAGCGGTGTGATATAAAAATATGTATGAATATTAATCGCATTTTAATTAAGAAATGGAAGCAAAAAAATTTACTTACAAACATAATTGAAATAATTAATCGTTTATTTAACAAATTTAATGATTGTCCACGATAGACAGTTTTAAAATTTAAATAAAAATAAAAACACTGCTAATACAAAAAAAATATATATGTACATACATGCATAGCTACTTTTGTTAATTCAAGGATAATAAAGCGATTCAAAAGGGAAAGTATAAGTAAAAATGTTTTCAAAGTTATCATAAAATTTAATAATATTTATAAAATTTAATAAAATAATAATTCTAAAAAGGCAAAAATATGTTACTATTATCTGTACATTAATTTGACTATCCCTTCAGACCCCTTCACACAGCAAACGCCGCCACTGCTTTGTACCTCACAGTTTGCTATATATGCTTGTATTAAATACATAAAATCATATACATACATACATACTTACATAAGTATATATGTATGTAGGTAAGGTCTGCGAAATAAGTCACCTTATCATGCTTATAACGTAATGCCACAGATTTACCATTTATGTTTTCCACTTCATTTTTTGCATAGTTTGCTTTCATCTAATTCTCTTACTGAAAACAGTAAGGAGAAGCAGAAATCCGTTATTACTACCGTTATTTCTATCGAAAATTGCTGCTGCCTCTCTTTACAGAACGAAATAATTGAGCTGATCAAATCAGTTTTTGTCATTGTACCAGTGCATTCAAGGGCCATTTTCATTAAAATTTTGGGATTTATAATTAAAAAAATTAAATAAGTGAGTTTTGACTTTAATCCAGGCTTAGAATATTAGATCAGATTATAATTAACCATAATTTTAGTAGAAAT